ACCATTACATTTCCCTTCAGGCCACACAGTGTAACTAACTGGGTAAGCAGCCAATTCGCACCCTTCTTAGCTGTCACTGTCTTACCCACGTGGGCATGGGCTGTGTAAAACATCATTGAAGATTAACTATTTATGTACTTATCATTTTTAATGGCCATGTATTAACACTGTTTCATTGGATGCCTCGCGTCACCACAGCATCACATCACAGCTGCGTGAAGCTACTAAGTCAATGCACTGTCGGTGTTCCTCATTGCAAGGCCCGTTGGCTATTGGCGGCCGTTAGTTCGGGCCCTGACGTGCGGCCCGCGACAATACACAGACAAGTAATAACACACCCCGTCATCATCGTCATCGTAGTGCTGCTGTTAAACCTCCAAATGGCTTCAAATGTGTGGCGGTCCTCACGCTGGTGATGTCTTATCAGCGAAAGTGCCCCCCTCTGGAAATTAGTGAAGAACACCGCACTTGATTTTTTTCCATAAGGATACAAATTCTTGGCTTTTCAAGAATGTCAATGTGTTTTATTACATGGTAGTTGTGAACGCACCATTAATCAGCTTTTGTGAAGGTCGCGATTAAAAGTGTAGCATTACCAGATGTTCACCTTTTAAGCATTTAAAGATATAACTCATCCCGAAAATATAAACAGTCAAAATGATTTAAAGCTTTCGTGACGGCAAGGATTCATCTTCTTTGGTTCTTTCGGTAAAGTCACGTAGAATGAGAATAAAATAATAAATTGATAAAATAAAATAACACAATAATATTCTCACGACGTTTCGGCCACAACACAAGCGGCCTTCATCAGGTGAAGGGACGAGACTGTCTGGAGGACAGCGCTGGAGTGAAAAAGGCACGCTCAGATCGCGACCTTTAAGCTGTGGGAGAAGAAACAAAGCGCCTTGACAAAGGAATTAGCATATAATTTAGCATTGAAATGGCTGAGTGATTAGCTTGTGACTGGTCACCGAAAAGGCTATGTTAAAGTTAAAGCATACACATCCGCAAAGGCACCCCTTGACAAAGGAATTAGCATAGAATTTAGCATTGAAATAGCTAAGTTAAAGTATACACATCCGCAGAGGCACCCCTTGACAAAGGAATTAGCATAGAATTTAGCATTGAAATAGCTGAGTGATTAGCTTGTAACTAGTCACAGAAATAGCTATGTTAAAGTCAGAGCATATACATTCACCGAGGCACCTAGTAAAAATCACATAGGAGAATTTAGCATTGAAATAACTAGGCGAATTTAGCATTGAAATAACTGAGTGATTAGCTTGTGACTGGTCACAGAAATGGCTATGTTGAAGTCAAGGCCTACACATCTGAGCTATTCACAGTAACTGGGTATACAATACAATATATAATGAATACTATATAGTGAACCAATAAAAAAACTAAAATATAAATTACCTCAATGTTATCAATAAACTCTATATTCTCCAATCAGCTAAGCTACCAACAATAAGTCGTTATATATCGCAATGCTATATGGCGAAAAATGGGTGGATTCTTACCCTCAACTTTAGCAACACGGATAGCTACGGGTCCCGTTCAGACGGACGAGTTCATCCATGGTCGGAACAGAGGAGGGGGAGAGAGACAGCTGCGAGGCGCTGTTATACTCCATGTTGTAAACCATACCATTAACCGTGGTGTGAGAGGTATTAAGAGTCAATGCCAGCGAAAGAGCTGCGGTCTGAAGGTCATCGTAAAATACAATTAATTAAGAACGGAAATGGTTTAAAACATCTTTCCAATAGTTACTAAGCCAGAATCCATCTTCTCGGTTGAAATTGTCTCTGTGCTTGTATATGTGAATGGCCTCATGAACGAATCTCTCATGGTAGCCGGTTGGTTTGCAAAGAACCTCCGTCTTGGAGAAGTCAATGTCATGTGAGCCCACTGAATTATAACAGTGATCTGCCACGGCAGAGGAGTTCGTCCTACCGTGTTTCAAGTCTGCTTTGTGTTCGCGGATGCGGTCCGAGATATGTCGTTTGGTTTCTCCAATGTAGCTACTACCACAGAGGCACTTTAGTTTGTAAACGCCCGGGTACTGTATGTCTGGAACGGCATCTTTTACAGATGGAACTAGATCACGGATTTTATGTACTGTGTTGAATCGGACCTGGATCTTGTGTTTATTCAGGATTTTTGAGATCTTTTTAGTGACCCCTGCAATGTAGGGTAAGGTGATGGTTTTGAGTGGCTCCACAAGAGGATCCTTCTTCATGACTGGAGTGATGGCTTTGCGGATTGTGTAGTCGGAGTAACCATTAGCCCTGAGAGCCTGGTGTATGTGCTTGAGTTCACTGGTAATGTGTTCCTGGTCGGAAATGCATTGGGCTCTATGGTATAGAGTCTTGATGAGGGAGTTCTTATGGGATGGATGGTGGTGGGAATCCGGTTTCAAGTAAGCATCTGTATGGGTAGCTTTCCTGTAGACAGAGTGGCTCATTGAACCATCATGTCTCCTTTTAATTAAGACATCCAAAAAGGGTAGTTTGCCATCTTTTTCGACCTCCATGGTAAATTTGATGGCTGGGTGTATGGAATTGATGTGGTCGCGGAATTGGTCTAGAGCAGGCTGGCCATGTGGCCAGATGACAAAGGTGTCATCCACGTACCTCTTCCATAAGGTCGGGCGTAGAGTGGCAGTCTGGATGGCGTCAGTTTCAAAATTTTCCATGAATACGTTGGCTACAACCGGAGATAGGGGGGAGCCCATTGGGGTGCCCTCAGTTTGTTTGTAGAAAGTTCCATTCCAGGTGAAGTATGTGTTGGTTAAGCAATGTCTCACCAGGGGGGTACATCAGTGTGCAGTCCTTGATGAACCAGGTCTTCAATGATAGCGATGGTGTCAGGTACCGGGATTTTGGTGAACAAGGACACCACATCAAAACTAACAAGCAGGTCGTCTGGGGACAGGGAAATGCCTTTGATTGTCGATACCAGGTGAGTAGAATTTAGTACCGCAGAGGTGTTTTTCCAGTGAAAGGTCGCAGTATATCAGCAAGAAAACGTGCCAGTTTATAGGTGGGGGAGTTGATAGTAGAGACGATGGGACAAAAAAGTGTATCTTCTTTGTGTATCTTTGGAAGGCCATATAATCTTGGTGGTCTGGCAGCAGAGGGTTTCAACGAGAACTGTTTGGTCTCATCAATTAATGCTGTTGAATCAGAGATGATTTTGTTCGTTTTGGTAACCAGGCTGTTGGTGGGATCTCTTTTTTTTGTATAGCTGCCATCGTTGAGTAGTTCTTGAATTTTGTTGTTATATTCTGCCGACAAGGGCAATGCAACTGTCATCATGGACAAAACAGAATATGCTAATTCCTTTGTCAAGGGGTGCCTCTGCGGATGTGTATACTTTAACTTAGCTATTTCAATGCTAAATTCTATGCTAATTCCTTTGTCAAGGGGTGCCTTTGCGGATGTGTATGCTTTAACTTTAACATAGCCTTTTCTGTGACCAGTCACAAGCTAATCACTCAGCCATTTCAATGCTAAATTATATGCTAATTCATTTGTCAAGGTGCTTTGTTTCTTCTCACACAGCTTAAAGGTCGTGATCTCAGCGTGGCTTTCTCACTCCAGCGCTGTCCTCCAGACAGTCTCATCCCCTTCACCTGATGAAGGCCGCTTGTGTTGTGGCCGAAACGTCGTGAGAATATTATTGTGTTATTTTATTTTATCAATTTATTATTTTATTCTCATTCTACGTGACTTTACCGAAAGAACCAAAGAAGAGAGTCAAAATGGTTAACATCTTTTAAGTGTCAAGATAACATCCCGAATGTGAACACTTGTCCGCATGTTCCTGACGAGTCTTGAGACTCCGTGAGGCTGTCCTGAGGAGGCTCGCCGCATCAGCCAGCGAGAGATGATCAGCGGTGACCCCCCCCCACCCCCTGTGCCGCGGCCCCTTTTGTCTCCTTGGGGCCCCACGGCCACAGTCCCCATCATCACTGTTACGTTACATTAATGGCTTTATTTTGATGATTTCGAAAACGTTTTTTTGGTTTGGCCATGTTTTTGTTTATTGTAGTACGGAGTTAGACTGATGGCCTTAATCTTAGTTGTCTTGTGGTTGTTGTTGTTGTTTGACTTGCATCCCACTGGGATTTTTGCACACAGCGTTGATGTACGGTGCTATTTCAGGAATATTTTGATGGGTTTTTTCCTGGATTTTCTGTTTGCACAGTCACATAGTCACTTTAAGATGTTTTCTTGTTCATGTTTTTGTTTGTTGCGGTTGCACCCGATTCAAGAGCCGAATGGCTCACAGGGCTATACCAAATAAATTGAGCTATGGAAGGGCTGTCCCCACGCCACTGATACTGCACTGTGTGTGTTCGTATACGCAGCATCGCCCAGGTATGCTACCGACATCGCCACCCTGCGATAGGAGAGCGCAGCTGTGTGTGTCACTTGGGGGAGCGGTAGTGTAGAGGTTAGTGCGCCGCGCTGCGAACTTGGCGACCCGGGTTCCCGCTCACGGCGAACATCAGGAACGATTATTTGAACCGATCCTGGGCCTCCCCTAGGTTGACTCAGTCTCAAATGAGTACCTGGTGCGATGTGTAAACATCGCCACTGGGAAGACAAAGGCGGCCGAGCGTGGTATTGGCCACCCACCCCCTCGCGTGCTGTGCCGGCCTTCATAGGTGCTCGCTAACAGCACTTGCCCCAAAAGTCTGTTAAGGCTATAGGGGGGATCTTTGTCTTTGTGTAATACTAGTGGTTGGTTGGATACAGCGACTTGTAATATCAATTTTGTTGAACAGTATGTATTAATGTCGGTACATATTCGTGGGGCAAATGTCAACGGATAGGACAGCCCGAGTGTAACATCAAAACCACGAGTGGGAAATTCTCGCTGGGGATTTGGCTTTCTAGTCACCTGCCCAATCCAGTCGACAAGTGACCCGAAAAATATACGGTGATAAATTATCCCCGGGTTTTTTAATCGCGAAGCCTCGGATTGACAATCATTTGGTGGCAGTTGTGCTGAATCCCGCTTGAAGAGTCTCGTGGGTTGTCGTGGGTTGTGTGGGCCTCGTTGCGAGCTGCGCTCTGGCACAAAATACGAGGGAGGTGACACGGCGTTATGCAAGGAATTTAATTGCGTCTTTTAAATTACTCACATACACATTAGCATATAAAGTGATTACATAATTGAAGTTAACACGTTCAAACATTAACGGCAACTCCACTCACGTGCTAAACAGCGTGGGGTCTCTAGTGAACTCGTGCCTCAATGTGCCAGAGTCTCTGCCATCGGAGATTTGACAAACCTCGAGGCGGCCGCGAAGGCTTCTCCCAGCAGAAGAAGCGCCACGTGGGACCGTGCACTAGGGAATCCAGCGGCGTGAGCGCACGTAGCTGCGGACCCGCCAGCCCAAGTTCGATCCGCAGCCAGGGCTCACGTGAGTGGCGAGTGAACAACCGAATCCGGTCCCAGGTGGCCCCTTCTTCACCAAAGCCGATGTGTTAGACTCACCCGCAAGTGCCACCGTGGGTGAAGTATGGTCAGTCAACACCACGTTACCAACGCAGCCTTGGAGGAGACATTCATCCAGCAATGGATTGACAAAGGAGGGCACGTGTGTTCATCAAATGTTGCATAACACTTACACGAAGAGACGATACTGACAAAGCTTACACGGTGCAACTTACAACGCACAACCTCAAGGTGACCCACCGCCTAAACACTGCGGTGGGGCTCGCCCCACGATCGGCTCGACTCGCGAATAATCCGAACGGAAACACAAATACTGACGGCGTTCGCATCACCTGCGCGCCATTGCAGCACCAAGCGCAGGCTGGAGGAGCGTTGTCACGCCGCCTGCCAGCGGATTAAAGGGCACCGCGGCTGCGTTCCCATCACGCGACTGCCTGAGCCAGAGCCGACGACTACGTGGCGGGTGCTGGCATTGACCCGGCACCACCATCACCACCGCCGCCAATGCGCGTCCCTTTGGCCCACCCGGGCTCACGCGGCTCAACGGCCAAGTCGCTCTCGCGGTGGCCCCCCAACTCACAACAGCCCCCCCCCCCCACCGAGAGGAGCTGGAGCCAGGCCTCCTGGCAGCTCCTGGCAGTGCAGTTTTTCCACTTGGCGTCGCCACTCGTGTCTTATTAACACGCGGTAGGGTACGCGGCCAGTACGGTAATGATTACGAAAATATTTGTGTTGGGGTTAGGCCACGTGGTTACGATCCAGCGAAATGTGTGTCGTCAAGAACCCTCCACCACCCGAGACGACCAAACAAATGAACTCGCCATGTTACGCACGAGCGGTTAACGCGGCAATTGCCATTGCAGCTCGCTTGCCCGGTGAAATTTAAGAGTCGCTCAATTACGCCACCGCTGAGAAAGAGTTATGCGTTACAAAAACACAAGACTAATACCTCTACCTTGCTAAATGCGTTACAGCCAACGAGTTCTAATGGCTCACGAAAAAAAACGTACATTGCAACATCACGCACTTCTGCTTTCATCTGCTCTAAGGAGAACTAAAAAGGGGGGGGGGGGGGGGGGGGAACCACGCGCACTCATGGGTTCTGTGACGCTGTCGAACGCGCGTGAGTGAGCGGCGGAGGTGGTGATCAATAATCAGCGATCATAACGGTGGTGCCCGCAGGTCGCGATGAGACGTCGGCCCTCGGATAACGGCTCTGCCGTGAAGGGCACGGCCAACGGTTTGATCAATGTGGCCTCTACGGTTGAGTCCCTAACAGCCACGCAAATCCGCCAAGAGACGGACGGATGGGGCTAACAGAGGTCGTGCACAAACACGTTCAACGATGGATGGAAGGCGTCACGTGGTACGGGGTGCGAGTATTGGCTACGTCTACTCTGAGTGGAGGTGTGTCGCGCCTTCACAGAGACTGGGGGCGAGGGGAGATGAACAGCCACGCCTCGCGTGAGAGCCGCCCTCCAGCATCTCCCAACGTCTCCGAGCGTGGCTGCGTCCCCCGCCCCTCCGGGCAGCACCCCGTGGCACCGGGCGGCACCCCGTGGCGCCGGGCGGCACCCCGTGGCACCGGGCGGCACGGACGCGCCCTCGCCAGTGGCCACGTCTCCTCGGCCCTCACTTGCCGAGCGGACTCCGGTGCGTTTTGTCGTAGCTCACGGCGCTGTTGGCGCCGCCGCCTGTGGAAGGAGAGAGCGCGGAACGTCGGCGAGAAGTCCCGCAACTCCACAACGTGCGCGGCCCTCTCAATCCACTGCTGCACGAGGCGGGCCTCCCCCGCAATCCGCGAGGATCGTGGGGGATAATTGGCCACCCTTCAACACGCTGGGCGGTGTGCGAGCGTGAACGTGTGAGCACAGAGGTACGGTACAACAGTGGATTTTGCTGCACTGCGCTCCGCTGCCGGCAACGTAGCTCGGCAGCAGCCTACAGCGCCTGTTGTGCGTGGTGGCCGTCGCCTATCGGAGCGCGGTCCAGGGCTGAACCCCACCGAGCTTCTGAGGCGTGATGAGACTCGTTTCGTTCCGTATGATTTGGTGACTGCCGGAACCCGGATGCGGGACGCGCGCAGGGATGAGCGAATATCACGGCGAAAGCCTCTCTCTTGGACACGGCGCGGTGGTGGGTTCGCGGTGGCCACGTGTGCACAGCGGTCGAGACTCACAAGGGGCTGCGGTGGTACCGCAATGCACGCAGGTCAAGGGATGCCAATCGAGTAACTTGAAGGTAATATTTTTAGCATTGGGATATTTGGCCGACACGCGCTACATTCACTGTGTGCGCGTTTTCTTACGAGGGAAGAAAACCAGGGAAGCTGGGCAACCCCCGTCCAGAACGGGGGGGAGAACAAACTCCTTCCAAGAAGGTCCCCGAGTCAGGAATGAAACCAAGGCGTTTCTTGCCGTGGGGCACCACCGCATTTAGAACATTTCCAACGGCGTCTGTGGACTTGAAGGAGCTGCACCTACCGGAGGGCTCTTTGCGAAGCCTGTGCTTGTAGCTGTGCGGGTCTGCGGTGGGGAACAACACGCCCAGTGCGTTATTAGCGCAGTGCCGTCCATCATCGCCATTCAGCAACAACAACAACAAGGAGTGGACGATGGCAGCAGCCTTCACGCGGCCCACTCTGTCAAGTGAGAATCCACGACGAAAGCCATCGATGCGAGGAGCGAACATCGACCATCGATCTCCCGGTCTCCGGAGCGACAATACGACCCACGATGACAGCGATACGCTCCGCTGCTCCTCACGCGGTTGTCTGCCTTGACCACCTGAATGTGACATTGCAGTTGTTTCTCTGCATCGACATCAGCCGTACGAAAGAAGAGGAACTACGAGAAGACGAAGAAGATCCCATGGCCAGGGCACACCAGCTCTGCGCCACGTGACCGCCGCACACACAACCCGGACCTGAGCGAACGCCACCGCAGAGTTGGCGATGTTTACACATTGACCACAATTTGTGGTCAACTTTTGTGGCAAGTGCTGCGAGCGATAACAACCATAATAGATCGCGTAAATATAAACGTGTCATTAATCCGCCACCGCCCAATACAGCCATTAAGTAAGGTTTGTCACGGAAATAAAACATGACAATTACTTACTGCTTCAGCACACTGTTATGTTGGAGTGTAAACCCACAACATTTACAATTCGAGTACGACGTTTCGCTGGTGATTACATCCAGCTTCATCGGGCGATTATCCAGCATCGTGTAGACTCAGCAACCCTCGCGAGAACCTATGAAGGCCGCCACGGCACACGAGGCGGCGAGTGGAGTGTCGATGTTTACACACCGCACAACGTACTAATTTGAGGCCGAGTCGACCCATGTGCCCTATGCTTCCCGCCTCCACCAACCCGTACTGACCTCGGGTTGTACTCAAGTCGCCCCCACGGCCTGCCCGGGGTGTGGATGCCCGCATGCAGCAGTGTGTTCAATGAGCGAGAGCGGCGCTGCTCGGAGCCTTTGGTGGTCCTGCGGTGCCACCTCGTGGCGATACCGGAGAACTGCAGGCGGTCGCGGCGCGACCTCGTGGGTGGTTGTCTTAAACTAAACTAAACTCTGATTTAAAGCTTTCGTGACTGCAGTAATTCATATTCTTAGTTTTTTCGGTAAAGTCACGTTGAAGAGAAACAACAAAATAACAAAATATATATAAAACAATAAAAAATTCTCACGACGTTTCGACCATAACTCAAACGGTCATCATCAGGTTTGAGTTATGGTCGAAACGTCGTGAGAATTTTTTATTGTTTTATATATATTTTGTTATTTTGTTGTTTCTCTTCAACGTGACTTTACCGAAAAAACTAAGAATATAAACTAAACTCTTTTTTTATTTCACCAGGTAGGGCCCACTGAGCTGTAGAGCTCATTTTCAGAAGTGACCTGGCCACAAATGATAGCTCAACGAAGTGGCTTATCACATGAACATTTCTAGCAGCCAAATACTCTAAATGCATGTTTCTAAATGCGGAGGGAAAAACATGAAAACCCGGAAAAATAATCCTCACGCCCACGAGGAGACCACGCAAACTCCAAATAAACAGCAGCAGGCATCAGGGTCGGGAGCGAACCCACGACCTCCTGCATACCAGGAAAGGTAGTCCACATCTCGTTACCACGGCACCTTTATGGCTCTGAGTACTGCAGTGTGAATGTCTCTGTGTGGGGGGCAGTGGCGCACTGCGCTACGAACCCGGCGACCCGAATTCAATTCCCTAACAGCTTACGACCAAAATACCAGTGGACTCAGTACCTGGTGGCAATGTGTGTGTGAAACACACACACATTGCCACGATCGTCACCTCAACAACACATTATGTCGTCGTAACTCTCATATCTACTCGTAGTTACTACGTAACATCTTAAACCCATCTCACGCTCTGCCTCTGATGCCGTAAAACGCCGTGCACCGCGGGTCCCGGTGACGGCGCGGGCGTTACCTGCGGGCGTTACCTGCGGGCGTTACCTGCGGGGGTTACCTGCGGGCGTTACCTGCGGGCGTTACCTGCGGGCGTTACCTGCGGGCGTTACCTGCTGGCGTTACCTGCGGGGGTTACCTGCGGGCGTTACCTGCGGGCGTTACCTGCGGGCGCTACCTGCTGGCGTTACCTGCGGGCGTTACCTGCGGGCGTTATCTGCGGGGGTTACCTGCGGGCGTTACCTGCGGGCGCTACCTGCGGGCGTTACCTGCGGGCGCTACCTGCGGGTGTTACCTGCGTGCTCGCGCTGTTTCACGCACTGCCCGCGGTTGGGCAGTCCGAGGGCCGGGTTGCCCGGGCGGATGATGTGGCACTCGTAGCCCGTGGGACACTGCAGCGGCACGTCGCCATCCTCCGTGGTGCTGCACGCCTCCGCTGTGCCGCACACCACACACCCCACACACACCACACGCATCACACACACACCCCACACACAACCCACACACACACACACACACCACACAGACACCCCACACACATCACACACACACAACACACACCACACACACACCACACACACCACACAGACACCACACACACCCCACACACCCCACACACACCCCACACACACCACACACACACCCCACACACACCACACACACCACACGCATCACACACACACCCCACACACACCCCACACACACCACACACACACCCCACACACACCACACACACACCACACACACACCACAAGCATCACACACACACCCCACACACACCACACTCACACGACACACACCACACACACACCACACGCATCACACACACGTCACACACACCACACACACATCACACACCCCACACACACCACACACACACACACCACACACACACCCCACACACATCACACACACACCACACACACCACACACACACCACACACACCACACACACACCACACACACACCACACACACCACACACACCACACGCATCACACACACCCCACACACACCCCACACACACCACACACACACCACACACACACACCACACACACCACACACACACCACACGCATCACACACACACCCCACACACACCACACGCATCACACACACACCACACTCACACCACACACACCACACACACACCACACGCATCACACACACCACACACACACCACACACACCCCACACACACCACACACACCCCACACACACCACACACACACCACACACACACACCACACACACCACACGCATCACACACACACACCCGACACACACCCCACACACACCACACACACACACCCTACACACCACACACACCACACACACCACACACACACCACACACACCACACACACCACACACACACCACACGCATCACGCACACACCCCACACACACCACACGCATCACACACACACCCCACACACACCACACACACACCACACACACCACACACACACACACCACACGCATCACGCACACACCACACACACACCACACACACCACACACACACCACACGCATCACACACACACGTCACACACACCACACACACATCATACACCCCACACACACCACACACACACACACCACACACACACCCCACACACATCACACACACACCACACACACCACACACACCACACACACACCACACACACACCACACACACCACACACACCACACACACCACACGCATCACACACACACCCCACACACACCCCACACACACCACACACACCACACACACACCACACACACACCACACACACCACACGCATCACACACACACCCCACACACACCACACGCATCACACACACACCACACTCACACCACACACACCACACACACACCACACGCATCACACACACCACACACACACCACACACACCCCACACACACCACACACACCACAAACACACCACACACACACACCACACACACACCACACCACACGCATCACACACACACACCCGACACACACCCCACACACACCACACACCCTACACACCACACACACCACACACACACCACACACACCACACACACCACACACACACCACACGCATCACGCACACACCCCACACACACCACACGCATCACACACACACCCCACACACACCACACACACACCACACACACACCACACGCATCACGCACACACCACACACACACCACACACACCACACACACACCACACACACACCACACACACCACACACACCACACGCATCACACACACACCCCACACACACCCCACACACACCACACACACACCACACACACACCACACACACACCACACACACCACACACACACCACACGCATCACACACACACCCCACACACACCACACGCATCACACACACACCACACTCACACCACACACACCACACACACACCACACGCATCACACACACCACACACACACCACACACCCCCCACACACACCACACACACCCCACACACACCACACACACACCACACACACACCACACACACCACACGCATCACACACACACACCCGACACACACCCCACACACACCACACACACACACCCTACACACCACACACACCACACACACACCACACACACCACACACACCACACACACACCACACGCATCACGCACACACCCCACACACACCACACGCATCACACACACCCCACACACACCACACACATCACGCACACACCACACACACACCACACACACCCCACACACACCACACACAAACCACACACACACCACACACACATAACACACCCCACACACACCACACACACCACACACACACCACACACACCACACACCCCACACACACCACACACCCCACACACACCACACACACACACCACACACACACACCACGCATCACACACACACCACACACACCCCACACACACCACACACAAACCACACACACACCACACACACATAACACACCCCACACACACCACACACACCACACACACACCACACACACACCACACACCCCACACACACCACACACACACCACACACACCACACACACACCGCACACACCACACGCATCACACACACACCCCACACACACCACACACACATCACACACCCCACACACACCACACACACACCCCACACACACCACACACACACCCCACACACACCACACACACCCCACACACACCACACACACCACACACCCCACACACACCCCACACACACCCCACACACACCACACACCCCACACACACCCCACACACACACCCCACACACCCCACGCATTACGCACAACCCCGACACCCCACACCCCCTACACCCCATGCACCCCGCACACCCCACACACCCCGGACACTCACACACCCCACACACCCCACACACCCCACACACCCCGGACACTCACACACCCCACACAAGCTACACATCCCACACACCCCGGACACTCACACACCCCACACATCCCGGACACTCACACACCCCACACAAGCTACACACCCCGGACACTCACACACCCCACACAAGCTACACATCCCACACACCCCGGACACTCACACACCCCACACAACCCCGACACCCCACACACCCCGGACACCCACACACCCCACACACCCCACACACCCCGGACACTCACACACCCCACACAAGCTACACACACCCCACACACCCCGCACACCCCACACACCCCGGACACTCACACAACCCACACACCCCGGACACTCACACACCCCACACACCCCACACACCCCGGACACTCACACACCCCACACACCCCACACACACCCCACACACCCCACACACCCCGGACACTCACACACCCCACACACCCCACACACCCCGGACACTCACACACCCCACACACCCCACACACCCCGGACACTCACACACCCCACACAAGCTACACACCCCACACACCCCGGACACTCACACACCCCACACACCCCGGACACTCACAGACCCCGCACACCCCACACACCCCGGACACTCACACACCCCACACACCCCGGACACTCACACACCCCACACAAGCTACACATCCCACACACGTCAAGCGCACCTCGTCAGCAGGCCATTTATTCGCTGCGCATCTCGTTAGGGGTCTGATTCGCGTGTTGTGAACGTCAGATCTTTGGCACGAATCTGCCAACATCTGGCGTCGCGTAATTGGAATGGGCCCTGGTGCACGTGACTGCATGCGGCCCTCCCTTTGTCCAATTTTGTCCAAAATCTATTCGTAGGCCGGCGTCCGGGTGCCTTCTGGCATGTGGTCCCCATCGCAGTTGCACCGTCTGCACACTCGAACTTTCTCTGGGATCGCTTCTTAAACGGACCTTTGTTCGTCACATCAGGAGTCGGTACTTTCCCCACCGCCTCTGCCACCGAGAGTAGGGTTTGTCGCATGACAGTTGCGTCGACGTTCTGTTCAACCTCAGAGCTAGAACTTAGCCAAAATTAAGTTCAAAAACGAATTTAACGTCTTGGCTATTTTTGTGCGCGCAGTCATTGGTAACCAGGCTAAGCCCATCAACTCACCGCACTCGGGACCCCCGATTTAGCCACCGATATCTGGATTCGAATCCAGAATCTCGGTGGTGCCAGCGCAGCGCTGCGACCTGTGAGCCACGCGGGGCCCCTCTCAGCAGAGCTCTCACCTGGGAGGACCTCCTCGGGACCGTCGAGCAGCCAGCCGTTGCCTCCGAGCCAGCGCGGCTTTGGCTGCACGAGCCAGTCCAGCACTGGAACACAAAGTCACACGCCGGACTCAAACTCAGCCCGCGGCAGGTCGTGGGGCTTACCCACTGCGCTTCATTTCTCCCTGATCTATGGGAGGCTGGAGTAGGTGGCAGGTGACGAGTAGTAGCCACTGCCATAGCGAAGAGGGGGGTTATACTGGATGTGGTGTGCCGGGTTGCTGACTCGTAGAGATCCGTATAAATTGATACCCCGATCGTATCGTATTGTATAATATCAGAGACGCTGTTAGCACACTGAAGCTTGCAATCCGGAGGCCACGGGTTCGATTCCATCATCACAACAGCTGTCACGTTTCTTAAATCCCCTCGCCTCTGTCCACCCAGCACCACAGTCGAGCGCCAAATCACGTGTGGTGGGGTAAAGCGTGGGGCACTCCCGGCCAGCGGCTAAGAGCAGACCGAACACCAGCCAGTGGAAGTGCTCTGGGCGAGGGCACTTGCAGGGCTGCCCCTGCACCATCACCAGGCGGTAGGGTTCGTGGGGGAGGGAGGGTGGGGGCGGGGGGATGGAGGGTGGGGGCGATGGAGGGTGGGGGCGGGGGGGATGGAGGGTGGGGGCGGGGGGGAGGGAGGGTGGGGGCGGGGGGAGGGAGGGTGGGGCGGGGGGGATGGAGGGTGGGGGCGGGGGGGATGGAGGGTGGGGGCGGGGGGGATGGAGGGTGGGGGCGGGGGGGGACGGAGGGTGGGGGTGATGGAACCTGGGGGTGGCGGCACGGGCTCGAGGCAGGCGTAGCTGCAGCCGTTGTAGCAGCAGCGCTTTGTCTGTCCGCACTCGGAGTTGGCTCGGCAGCTCGCCACCTCGCAGGCGCGCTCCGGGAGCCTCTGCGGCGGCGGGGGGCAGCGGTCGCTGCGCTGCTGCTCCGGCGCCTCCGCCTCGTAGTCCTGGCCCTGTGCGGGCACGGCCAACGCCACGGGGCGGGAGCGCGCGGGACGGTCACACGGGGCAGGGGGGCACACGGGGGGGCAGGGGGGCACATGGGGGGGCAGGGGGGGCACATGGGGGGGCAGGGGGGCACACGGGGGGGGCAGGGGGGCACACGGGGGGGAGGGGCAGGGGGGCACATGGGGGGGGGGGCAGGGGGGCACACGGGGGAGGGGCAGGGGGGCACACCGGTGGGGGTGGGGGGGTGCGCGGGGTCGTGCATGAAAAACGGTGGTGGGGGTCACGCCATGGCCATCGTGAAGGAAACTCTCAACAAATGTTTCACGATAAAGAGCCGGGTGGCGGTGGGGGCTTCGCTGCTGCTGCTGCGGCTGCTGCTGCGGCTGCTGTTGCTGCGGCTGCTGCCGCCTTGCCGCTGTTCCTCGCCTGTGGCTCCTCTCTCTACGAGCGCGGGCGGCGCCGCGTTATGAGTTGAAATTAAAATCGGATTGAGTGTCCATGTGATCTGCTTTTGTCTATTCACCAACCGTGGCCAGCGTAATGAAGTGTGGTCGATTAACAACCCCACCCAAATGTGATCCACACGGCATTGCGAGGCCCTCATCCAGCAGTGGAGTGACAGCAGGCTGTACTACGCCCTGGCGTCTCTCCAGCCCCTTCTCCCTGCGTCTCTGCGTGTTTTGTTGAAGTCCCCAGGAGTTGTATCAACAGGCGAAGGACCCTGAGGGAGGGGTGTTAGTTTCAGGTCCTCAATCTAATGCACGTTGAACTTCTTTCACACCGTACTTAGCCAACCGTGCTAATCGGAGGTGCGGGGAAAGGACAACAAACTAATTAATAATCCCACTCCACTCATCCCACTCCACTCGTCATTGTCATCAGGCTGCCCTGTTGCCTCGTCGTTTCGCAAAGCCAAACAGCAGAGGGCGCCAGTGGCCAGCGCCCGATGTCAGTTTTGTTATTTTATGACTCTCATTCAGGCTGGGACGCCTTCACCGAGTCTCGTGACTCGTTCTCACGAGGATCCTGCCAAGTTTCGCAGTGCGCAGCAATGAGCTGCTTTGTCTCGTCCAACTTAGCAATTTGCTGTATCATATTTTTCTACGCACAACGGCCTACTCTTGCCAATCACGTCACGGGGATCTTTAATAACCACCATCACCACCACAGTATTAACCAGGGCAGCCGCTGGACTGAACCGTTAAGCTCTGCAACAATGATGGTCTCAGAGAGGGCCTCTCGGCTCTGCGGGGCCACCACAACGAAGGTGGCACGGAGGCGAACCGCAGCAGCCTCCAGCAGGATGGGAGTGGTGGTGTCGAGTGGTGGTGTCGAGTTGTGGTTGTGTTGAGTTGTGGTTGTGTCGAGTGGTGGTGTCGAGTGGTGGTGTCGAGTTGTGGTTGTGTTGAGTGGTGGTTGTGTCGAGTGGTGGTATTGAGGGCTCATATCAGTGGCGTGTGAACAATAAAACTTCCCACAGACGATTCACGCCCGCGTTTCGTGGGAGACACGGGGCGAGACTCCCGTCTGCTCGTCCCTTGTCCGGGTCGTCGTGGCTGTGACCTCTGTGTTGTCTGCTTGACGTCATGATCTATATCTTTGATCTCCACCAGTCGTGGTCTTGGGTTAGTGACTTTCATTCGTGGCCTTGAACGCTGTACGTGCACCTCGATGTAGTGACCTCTCAATGTGCCCTTAAAGCGGTGGCCTCCTTGCCGTGACGTGGAGGCCGCAGCCTTGAGGTAGCAACCTTCTGGCCGTGACCCATAGGTCATGACCTCTGGCCGAATGCGTTGAGAAGGATTGAACAGATGGAGCTTTTGTGTGAGTTATTGTGTGAAGACTCTGTATGTTGGATAAGCATTGAGGAGGTAAAGCGTGGAAAGTCATGGACAAAACACGCGTCTTTAATTAATATTAACGATTATACAAAGTTGGAGAATAAAAACAAAAATACCCTTTGGTAAAAGTGCCCTGCTAAATATGCTGAGAATGTGGCATTCTCAGAAGGTTCCCAGAAGGTTCTTGCTGACAAAGCTTGTTTTGTGTTAAAAGTCCCCCGTGTGTGCGAGGCAGGGTGGGGCGGTGGCATAGCGGTTAGCGCATCGAGCTGTAACCCGGCCACGTGAGCCAGATCCTCAGCCAGGGCCAGTGAGTGATATCTGCATCGGACCTGAACTCCTCTGCCTCACCAACCGGCACCGACCTGCATGTGCATCAACAGTTCTGTTATGTCATAATAATCACTACTATCGGCAATCCATGATCCGCTGCTGGATGAAGGCTTCCTCAAGGCGATGGAACAATCCACCTGGCGCCTGGTTTTCACGCAACCTGATTTTTAACCGCTCTGTATCCCTCCACTGCGGTCCTCTGGAACGCGTGCCCGTTCTTTGGCAGGGACTCCTGACATCTCTATTTATTTGTTGACCGTCTTTGTGTAACGAATCGGCCGCCAGTGTTTATAGAAGCGCAGGCCAGGCGGCCCTGCGGGGGGGGGGGGCGATGGGGGGGGGCATCTGGTCGTGGCTGTGCAGCCAGCAAATATGTAAATAATCCTAGAAATACCGAGCTCCCTTTGAGCTCCCTTAATTTACGATCCCAAATTATGATTGTGGTCACAGAGCGCCCTTCATCATTTCTTCAACTACACCCGGGAACGGGCCTCGGACTGAATAACGAGACTCCTTTTCAGGAGGGTCCTGTTCAGGGTTGCTGGGCTGCTATAGTAGACGTGACTAGTAGCAGCCGCTGCCATAGCGCGTATGAATGGATGTGGTGTGCCGGGTGCCGAACTGTTTCCCGGGTCGCCTGGGCTGCTCCCTCCCAGCGACCGCGGGGAATCCCCGCGTGAAGAACCTCTGGGCTCGCCTACGTGGGCTGAGAGGTCTCTCTCCTGGACGTTAGGAAAGGCCGAGTTGGTTGGGCTCTAGGGTCCGTCGGGAAAGTCGCGAGCTCACAGAGGAGTTTCGCGTGGGGAGGGGGGGCGGGATTTTTGAGGGAAGAAAAGCCTCGAGAAGGGCGGGTTTGGAGAGTGAGACAGGGAAGGAATTGCCTGAGAGAGGGAATGGTCTAGAGATGGAAGGGATGGTCTATGGAACGCATAGTCCAGAAATAAAGGAATGGTTTAGAGAAGGAGGGGATGGTCTAGAGATGGAAGGGATGGTCCAAAGAGGGAAGGAGTCAGATTAGGAGGGAAGGAGCTAGCGAATGGAAACGGGCGCGTGTCGAGGGAAGAATGGAGGAAGCGCCCTGCACCCTGGCGGGTCCCGCTTCGCTCGCGAGGGCTGCAGGCAGAGTGAGAGGGCCCCCTGGGCAGGGCGGACAGACCGGTCCCTGGGGCCCCGGAGGGGCGAGCGGTCACGGGCCGTGCGTGAAGGGGCCCGGGACGGGGCTGAGACGACTACCAGAGACTGCCTCGATGGCCCCTGTTCAGGACTTACACTGCAGTATATGCACACGCTGTGGCATAGACTGTATGCAATATAGACTGTATACATGAAAAGAGGTTGTGGGGCTACGATGTGGGCAGCAGATGGCAGTGGAGCAAACTCCATTATCGCACCGTGCTCCTGCGCATCCACGTCTATTCCTGTCCGCCTTTGCCCACCCAGTGAAGTATAGCCAAATAGCCCCTTCGAGGGGAGGAGGCCCTCATCCAGCAGTGGATTCATGACAACGGGGCAGAGTTGTACTACACTAGGGCCCATCGGGAGCCCATTGAGGTATACTGATCTGGTACAACATCACGTTCATCGCGATGCGTCTCATTAAAAGTGTGTTGAACTTATTTGGCGCCGTACGTAGCCAACCGTGCCCTGCGCTTACCTGTGCGAAAAGCCTCGGCTGATCCTCGGCTGATCCTCAAGACTTCTTTTCAGGAGGGTCCTGCCACCTTCTACACAGTAGTACTCTTGGCATGTGCGGCCAATCACACTGATGAGACTTTGGCGTCGCGTGGAGGAAACCGGAGCACTTGGCACGGCGCACAGACCGATTCAAGAATCCACTGGCTGCACGTTTCCTGACCACCCCATCCGCAGCCCAAGCCTTTCGCACCTGGCGATGAGTTCGCCCATAACAACAAAAGTGCAAGCGGCACTCACGTCTGCGGGGCCGGCTCGGTCGACCACGCGGAGGTGCAGGGCGCCCCTGGGAACGTCCCGCGGCCCCGCTTCCAGCACCCCGGGGTGCAGCCGGACGCTGGGAGGCAGCAGAAGCACCACCACCAGCAGCAGCAGCATGGGGAGGCAGCCGTGGTGGTGATAGCGGCCGCTTATGGTTGAAGCTACGGACATCGCCATTCATCCACGCGGGGTCTTCCCGGCAGTGAGTAGTTGATACGTGAGGAAGAGGATGAGACGAGTGCTGGGATCCGTGTTGCGCTCGTCACACTACGTTGACCATTGATGATGGGATGAGGAGACGAGGAGGACACGTCCAGACGGAACGGAAATCCTCGACCTGGTCGGCGAGATCTGGTGAATGAGACACGCGGTTGAGCCACAAGCACGTGTCGGCACCACCACCACCACAACCACCACCTCCGTGGACGCGCTGCGTGAGGCGGGCGGGTTGGAGGCACCGGGCCGGGACGCGACGTGCAGGATGGTGCACGCGGTCGGCGGTGTGACCGCCGGGAGGGGACGGGGGAGGTGGAGAGAGGAGGCGGGTCGGGGATAGAGGGGGGGGGCGCTGTTCCCTCGGGGAAATCGCGGCACGAGGCGGGGTAAGAGAGGGACAGGGGGTGGAGCGGGGAGCGCGGTGGAGGCTGGTGGTGGTGGGTGGAGGGTGATGAAGGAGGCTGGCAGAGATGGAGGATGATGCTGGTGGTGGCGGGGGAGGCTTGGGAGTGGTGGTGGTGGTGAGATGTATTTGTGTCGGGGTGCCTTTGCCGAAGCACTGCGTCGCGTGTGTAATTTCACTCTGGGGCCGGAGTTGTCCGCTCCGCTTATACCCCACGGCGTGGCCATCGTAACTCATGCGATGGCGCGTGCCTACGCGACCCTCCTCGGTGACCCATGCCGCCCATGACCCGTTCCACCTACAGTGAGGGAAAAAGTATTTGATCCCCTGCTGATTTTGTACGTTTGCCCACTGACAAATAAATGATCAGTCTATAATTTTAATGGTAGGTTTATTTGAACACTGAGAGACAGAATAACAACAAAAATCCAGAAAACCGCATGTCAGAAATGTTATAAATTGATTTGCATTTTAATTAGGGAAATAAGTATTTGACCCCCTCTCAATCAGAAAGATTTCTGGCTCCCAAGTGTCTTTTATACAGGTAACGAGCTGAGATTAGGAGCACACTCTTAAAGGGAGTGCTCCTAATCTCAGCTTGTTACCTGTATATAAAACACTTGTCCACAGAAGCAATCAATCAATCAATCAGATTCCAAACTCTCCACCATGGCCAAGACCAAAGAGCTCTCCAAGGATGTCATGGACAAGATTGTAGACCTACACAAGGCTGGAATGGGCTACAAGACCATTGCCAAGCAGCTTGGTGAGGTGACAACAGTTGGTGCGATTATTCGCAAATGGAAGAAACACAAAATAACTGTCAATCTCCCTCGGCCTGGGGCCCCATGCAAGATCTCACCTCGTGGAGTTGCAATGATCATGAGAACGGTGAGGAATCAGCCCAGAACTACACGGGAGGATCTGGTCAATGATCTCAAGGCAGCTGGGACCATAGTCACCAAGAAAACAATTGGTAACACACTACGCCGTGAAGGACTAATATCCTGCAGTGCCCGCGTGGTCCCCCTGCTCAAGAAAGCACATATACATGCCCGTCTGAAGTTTGCCAATGAACATCTGAATGATTCAGAGGACAACTGGGTGAAAGTGTTGTGGTCAGATGAGACCAAAATGGAGCTCTTTGGCATCAACTCAACTCGCCGTGTTTGGAGGAGGAGGAGGAATGCTACCTATGACCCCAAGAACACCATCCCCACCGTCAAACATGGAGGTGGAAACATTATGCTTTGGGGGTGTTTTTCTGCTAAGGGGACAGGGCAACTTCACCGCATCAAAGGGACGATGGACGGTGCCATGTACCGTCAAATCTTGGGTGAGAACCTCCTTCCCTCAGCCAGAGCATTGAAAATGGGTCGTGGATGGGTATTCCAGCATGACAATGACCAAAAACACACGGCCAAGGCAACAAAGGAGTGGCTCAAGAAGAAGCACATTAAGGTCCTGGAGTGGCCTAGCAGTCTCCAGACCTTAATCCCACAGAAAATCTGTGGGAGCTGAAAGTTCGAATTGCCAAACGTCAGCCTCGAAACCTTAATGACTTGGAGAAGATCTGCAAAGAGTGGGACAAAATCCCTCCTGAGATGTGTGCAGACGTGGTGGCCAACTACAAGAAATGTCTGACCTCTGTGATGCCAAGAAGGGTTTTGCCACCGAGTACTAAGTCATGTTTTGCAGAGGGGTCAAATACTTATTTCCCTCATTAAAATGCAAATCAATTCATAACATTTTTGACATGCGTTTTTCTGGATTTTGTTGTTGTTATTGTCTCTCACTGTTCAAATAAACCTACCATTAAAATTATAGACTGATCATTTCTTTGTCAGTGGGCAAGCGTACAAAATCAGCAGGGGATCAAATACTTTTTTCCCTCACTGTATGAACAGTGCCACCCATGACCCGTGCCACCCATGACCCGTGCCACCCATGACCCGTGCCACCCATGGCCAGTGCCACCCATGACCCGTGCCACCCATGACCCGTGCCACCCATGGCCAGTGCCACCCATGACCCGTGCCGCCCATGACCCGTGCCACCCATGTCCAGCCAGTGTCATCCATGACCCGTGCCACCCATGACCCGTGCCGCCCATGGCCAGTGCCACCCATGACCCGTGCCACCCATGACCCGTGCCACCCATGACCCGTGCCACCCATGTCCAGCCAGTGTCATCCATGACCCGTGCCACCCATGACCCGTGCCGCCCACGGCCAGTGCCACCCATGACCCGTGCCACCCATGACCCGTGCCACCCATGACCCGTGCCACCCATGTCCAGCCAGTGTCATCCATGACCCGTGCCACCCATGACCCGTGCCGCCCATGGCCAGTGCCACCCATGACCCGTGCCGCCCATGACCCGTGCCACCCATGACCCGTGCCACCCATGACCCGTGCCGCCCATGACCCGTGCCGCCCATGGCCCGTGCCGTTCACCACTCCTCGGGAGACAGCTCGCGTACACATGCGGCGTGGCTCTCACCTCCTCCACACAAACAGCATCACGTTTCCCTGCTCTCCCCCCGACCAAGGAACCCCTCCCCACGCCCCCCATTACCGCTACCCCCCATCACCCCCCTCTCGCAAAACCCACCTTTATCACCCTCCACCCCATCACCCACCCTCACCACTGAGGGTGCAGGTGCTGCGATTGCACCGGTGCCTGTGGGCCGGAGGGGCCGGCGCGCCGGGAAAGGGGGAGGGGGAGGCGATTCGGTATGGGGGGGACATTTCATTAATTCGACCTGCAGGGCCATCGAGACCTCGCCGCCGCGCCAGTGACCAGTGGTGTCATTAGAACCACCGTTGATGCTAAATAAAAACATGGCACGTCAATTTGGTGTTCATACCAGCGTCTTACACTATCGTGGTGAAGTATGGTCAAATGACGCCTCCCCCCCCTCCCCTCGTCACCCCCGATGACTGACGCAATTTGATGAGGACTGTGATTTCGCAGAAACGTGTTGGAGGTTCCTTGGGGAGGCCTTCATCCAGCAGTGGATGGGCCATGGCTGTTAATGTCTCTATTGCAGAGGACATTGCGTCTCAATGGACGCATAGATGGTTATCCAGGAGATTGATGATGATGATGATGACTATGATGATGAAGGGTTATTGGGGCCCCACTCCTTCTCTCCAGACTGCAGAAGTAGGGAAGTTAGGGCAAAACCTCCTCCCACCGCTCTCTCGGGTCGAGTAATTGAATCAATGTGGGAATGCGGGGCGGTCACACTCCAGATGTAATAGCGGCAATTACTGCAAGCAAACAATAAGACATATATAATAAGTGCATTTATATCCGGTGGTGGCGCATGGAATAAGCAAACTAAGCAAAAGCGGAGAGTCCCAACATAGCTCAAGGAGCCCCGCATTCATAGAAATGTCAGTGGTTCACCAAATTAGCATCTCGAATTCAGACCTTGATAAACATAGCAAGCCAATTAACATTAACTAATTAATATTCCAACTATATCTTGTCTGGAACTCTTCTCTCGTCGCATTAGCCCTCTCTACCCTGGGTCCGCATTCATGGGGTCTCGCTACAGTCCCCATCGCTTTGTCTCCACGTGTCGTCATCTTTTTCTCGGAGTTATTGCATTGAAAGGGGGCTCATAAAACGCTGTCTGCATCGGGCCTCCCAAGTTGGCCAGCAACTTCACTGTGCGCAGCAGGAAACAGCGCGGACTGCTTGCTTTGTATCACGGTGGCTACGAGAAGTCAACTATCCTCGCCTGGTACACAGGATGAGGTCGTGGCTTCGATCCAGACTCTGACACCTGGTGTATATTTGTAGTATGCATGTTCTCCCCGTGGCTGTGTGGATTTTCCCCCGGGTCCTCCGGTTTCCCCTTGACATTTATAAACACGCATTTAGAGCATTTGGCTGCTATACATTTCCACACGATGAGCCACTTTGTTGAGCTATCGTTTGTGGCCAGGTCGCTTCTGAAAAAGAGCTCTACAGTATACGGTAGCTCAGTAAACCTTACCTGGTAAAATAAAAAAGTTTAGTTTAGTGTCGCAGTGACATTGTTCGTGTGCCCACCCGAGAGCCTCTGCGATAAAAGTCCACACACGATGCATTTTTAACTTCACCAGCAGGGCAGGTCTAACCTATCTCCCGATGGTCTAAAACCCGATCTGTATCGCCTCTTTCAAATCACTCTCCTAAGACAATCTCACAATGGCCTCAATATCTCACTCTCGGGTACTCACGGTTCGACTCGTACAGAGCTGCTGGGTCGGATCCTCGCTGCACCTCGACTCGTCACACGGACGTTCGAGTGGCTGGGAAGTCGACGGCCCCGAGCCTGGCTTGAGAACAATACGAACTCACTCTCCCTACCTTCTCTACCATTTTTATTGTCCTCTACATCAAAGACAAATCGGCGCTGATCTGCTGGCCTCCCGTCCAATCAGGTGGCTCGGATTTCCCGCCACTCTCCCCGGACCGGTGCTCTCTCAGACGGCCGCTTTTCACCCTCTAAACAAGCGCATCTGTCCTACCAATCAGAGGACCGGCCCTGTTTTTCCTGCCGTTAGTGACTCCGTCCCCCCCCTACCTGCCTGCTGACCCGTGTGTGTCGTGGGTGTTTTCTATCCGTGGTGGCTCAGCAGCCCTGTCGTGACCATGTAATTACCACCCAAGTCACGGCGCTGCGGTGCACGTTAGCCTCGGGGGAGGTCGCCAAATTCCCTGGTCGCAGGAAACCGTGCAGTTTGGTCCCATGAGAGGGCTTCTGGGTGAAAACCTGTCGGCCAGGTGACCTCCCTTCGGGGCTCTATGTGGGGGTGTGTGTGTGTTAATGTAAAGGGGGTGGTGAGGGAAGAGCAGCGTCGGCCCCGTCGCTCGGAGGTGGCGGCGGCGCGGCCACGGCGTCGGCAGGACGGCTTCGCTGCTGCGGCATCACAGTTGCAGGCACGGCTCCGACGGAGCGGCTTCGCTGCTGTGGCACCACACAATCACGCGCGAAGCTCAGACGAACAAGCAGGTCGGAGTACACGCAGGGCCCGATTGACATTTTGTAGGCCCCTGGGCTACAGGTACTGTGAGGCCCCCAGTAATATTTTTAAAAGGAAAACAAAGTTAAAGAAAAATAACATTTATTTTTACAAGGCTAACAACAAATAAAATTCATCATTCATAAATGAAATAACTTTTCACTTAATCTCTGGAGGCCCTCCAGCTGGCAGAGGCCCCTGGGCTGCAGCCCCCAAAGCCCCCACACCGTGATCCGGCCCTGAGTACACGTACAGTCCTCGAAATTCCACTCAACATCAATCAACCATGCTCAATTCCACTGCTGGATGAAAAGAACGAACTTCCTCCCCCCCGAAGCCGTCGCCGCCACCTTTCACGACCCGGGGTGGAATGACAATCCACGCAGCCCCTGCACACGAGCCGATTGCATCGCTCTCCTGGGGCCCCGTGACAATCACCTCGACCACCATCGCCCTCCTGTGGCTCTGTGACAATCACCTTGACCACCATCGCCCTCCTGTGGCTCTGTGACAATCACCTTGACCACCATCGCCCTCCTGTAGCTCTGTGACAATCACCTCGACCACCATCGCCCTCCTGTAGCTCTGTGACAATCACCTCGACCACCATCGCTCTCCTGGGGCCCCGTGACAATCACCTCGACCACCATCTCCCTCCTGTAGCTCTGTGACAATCACCTCGACCACCATGGCTCTCCTGTAGCTCCGTGACAATCACCTCGACCACCATCGCCCTCCTGTAGCCCCGTGACAATCACCTCGACCACCATCTCCCTCCTGTAGCTCTGTGACAATCACCTCGACCACCATCGCTCTCCTGGGGCCCCGTGACAATCACCTCGACCAACAACGTTCGAGAAATTCGCCAGGGACCTATGCTGCAGGTCGAGTGTGGACAGAGCTTCAGTGGGTGACCACCACCACCAGTCCACCACCGTACAAGAGCACAGTCATGGGTGGGCAGCAGGCAGAAGTGCATTAACGCAGTTGTACCGTACTTCTATGCCACTTACACGGCATTATTATTATGATGTAAAAACGTGTACAGCCTGGTTTGTCAATTCACTTCTGGGAGAACGCCTCCTGACGCTGACTCGGTCGTTTGGGGGCGGGGGGGGCATCGACTCGGGAGATGGAGCGTGTGAAGCCACTTCAATGTTGAAGCCACTTCAATGTTGAAGCCACTTCAATGTTGAAGCCACTTCAATGTTGAAGCCACTTCAATGTGTTGCAGGTGCTGGGTGGACGGAGAGGCGTTTCACAGGACCGTAAGAGGTGGCGACGGCTCATCCAGCGGTGGACTGACCATGGCTGATTTAATTGTATTATTGCGTTTGGCAGTGTGGTTCAGGCGCTCAATGCCAATGTGGAGGTCGTGCTGCTGCCAGGGCGAGATGGCCTCAGCAGCCAGAGTTGGTGTTGTGTCGCTGTGCCCCCTCCTCTGCTGAATAAGCGCAGACCACAGCGGGTTTACCATCCAGTCCAGAGACTGGGTTGCATGGCTACTTTTGCATGGCTGTGGCTTGTGCCTTTCATCTTCCGTTATAGAAGATGAAAAGCTGATGGTGATGAAGACTTAAAAAAATAATGTCTCGGTCCGTCCCGGGTCTCCCGGCCGGGTCGCACACCGCGCCTATTCGGGCTGCGCTTTCCAATCGCGCGCGGGGCGCCCCGCTTGTTTGCGCTGGGGAATGTGGAGGCGCCGGGGTCAGGGGTCAGGGGCCGGGGCTACGGAGGGGCGCCTCCTCCGCGCTCTGTTTTGGTTCCAGGGTTCGCGTCTCCATCTCTCACTCACCTCCTCCTCCTCATCGTCGACTTCTTTTGTTTTGGCTCCGAGTAGGGGAAGAGGAAAGGGGGAGCGAGGGGAGGCAGCGGCCGAGGCGGCTGCTGCTGCTTCGTGCTCCGCCGACGGGGGAGGCCGTCTAGACGGTCCGTAGGCCCAGCGAGGCCGGGCCTAGGCCAGACGGACTCGCGGAGGCCCCGGGGCCTCATCCTCCCCGCTCGGTCCTCCCTCGCGTTTCTCAGCGTCTCCCTTCCTCTCGCTTCGTCGTGTCCCGCCCGCTCGCTGTTCTGGCATCAAGTCTGGACGCGTCTTCTCTGGCCGCTGTGGGCTCGCGTAGGCCGCGATAGCTCTTCCTTCGCAACTCTGTGTCCCTTCGCCTTGATGCTCTCCTCTGTCACCGCCGTGTGTGTTGTTTGTATGTTGAACCTCTCTCACGCCGTACGTAGCCAACCGTGCTAATCGGGGGTACGCGGGGGGGATACGACAAGCTAAACACAAAAAGCAGTTGCAAGCCGCGTGACATCGCTTGTGTCACAAGATAGAAGACCCTGGCTCTTGCCTCGCCCGCCTCCACTGGCCTCCTCTCCACGCTACTACAGCTGCCGCCCTTCTCTCGTCGCCCTCTAACGCCTGGGCACTTTCAGGTCGAGGAGATCCCGCGTCTCCCTCCTAGTCCCAGCATCTCCTCTGCTATACTTGCTCATCTCACCTCGTCGTGTCTCCAGCTACAATATTCTCGTCATGGCCGTATAGAATATGACTTGTGACCGTGCGCGTCTTAGGCCCCTGTCAAGTGTGTTCATTTTAACCCTTCTATCGCGGCGTCTTCTGCCAGACTCATCCTCGGTAGAAATGTATATCCTCTTCGATCCTCAAGTCATGAGACGTTTCCCTGATCATGTCATCATCTCCCGCCACGTCCCGTCATGTGTTCTAGTCGTGGGTCATGTAGGAGCTGCCACTCCTGCCGCTGGGTCTGCCTGTTCTCATATTCAACTCTTCTTCTGGCAACACGCATCTCTTAATCGGCTCTTGTGTGCTTCTCTCTAAACCCTTCTGTTACCTTGCTGTTACCACAACACCGTCGATAACACGGCCTTAAACGAACATGTTAAGTTTTTGTTGTGTTATTTAACCTTTCGCTCCGCTGCCAACGCGTCATCACCAACTCAGTTGAATGTTGTCGTTACCTCGTGTCTCACGATCAAGTCTTCACCTACCATAGTGACTTCCGAAGGCATCGTGCTGTTGGTGTCCTAAAGTTTAAAAAGTCGGTTGTGATGGAGCCAACATTTACTGCCACCCTAAACAGTGCAGGGAGTTATAGCCCGAACTGTGATTTGTCAAACCCGAGGAAATAATATGACAATTTATATCCCGTTGTCAATCCACTGCTGGATGAAGGCCTTCCTATTGCCACTGGTTTTGGGTATTGACAGCATTCACCACGTTGATCAGTGCAGGTTGGTGAAGGGATGGCTCAGCACAGGTTCAGATATCATTTGCCACTGATGTTAGCCGTGACCAGGAACCGAATACAGATCGCTGGATGTATAGAGCGGTGTGCTAACCACTGCACCGCCAGTGTACGAAACCACGCACTCTACCTGTTCCAGTCTGTAAGGAGAAGACCATGCTGTACTTGAATAACAACCAACAACCGTGCTGAAGTGACGTGACGCAGCGAGCGCGCGGTGTGATTGACGTGGGGTGTTTGTATATCCCCAGCTCTCCACAGGAGAACACCATGGGAAATCAGCTGGCAGGGATTGCACCGTCTCAGATCCTCTCAGTCGACAGCTACTTCACCGACATCACCGAGTATGAGTACGACAAGAACCTGGGCAGCACGAGGTTCTTTAAGGTGATGGCCACGGCCGCTGCCAGACAGCTCGCACGTCCGCTGCTTGAGAACGTCTCTCTCCGATGCGTTTGCAGGTCATACCCGCGCATTATTCTGTGCACTGTCAGAAGTATCGCCCCACTTGCTGGGAGCTTCTTCAGGAACGGAACCGAGCATCTCACTTGCTCATTTGTATAGCGCGATACTGTTGACGGGGAGAGTGATGCTGGTCCACCTCCAATAACTGCTCGGTGCGCTTATTCTTCTCTGTTTTCCAGTTGTGTCTGTCCGACAGATATTTTCAGTTGTATAACGAACCTGTTGTATGTGACTTTTGTCGTGCACGTATATGCATTGAGACCCACTTTCCAGCCTCCTTTATTTACTTCTAACATTTACCATGGTTCATTCTCATTGGATGTCAACATGACTGTTAACAGCAAAATCTGAGATGGTTACTTTTTTGTTATTCCATAAATATTAATTCCATTTGTCTCGTAAGTTGGTGCACACGGATAAAAAACGTAATTAACATGCCGTGGCAGGTGGCGCGCGCACGGCACAGGGAGGGCCTGGCGGTCGTGAAGGTCTTCGCCATCCACGACCCGTCGCTGCCACTACGCTCGTTCCAGAAGAGGGTGGAGGATCAGCGACAGCGACTTGCCGTCGCCCCCAACTGCCTGCCCTTCCAGCGCACGGCGCTCACGGAGCGCGCCGGCCTGCTGTTCCGCCAGTATGTGCGCGACAACCTGTACGACCGCATCAGCACAAGGCCCTTCCTCAACGGTGTCGAGAAGAGGTGAGCAGTTGCGCTGTCGCTGCGGCGGCACGTGGCGCTCGCAGCTGGGAATGCGAGGATCGGAGAACGTACCAATCGAGGCGTAATGGCCGTTAAGAAACGTTATCAAAAGTCGTTCTACTCTTGTGGAAATGGATGCCGTTACCAAGGAGCATTTTTTTTCCGGTTCTGTTAATATCGTTAATGGGCAGGATTTATCCGCTGCTGGATGAAGGCATCTCCGAACCTTTGCCATGTCTCACAGTCCTACGATGTATCAATCCTTACCACTTGCACACGAGCTGATTTCATTGCGCCATCTCTGTGGTAGTCATCCTCTCTGGAGTGTTCCCTCCTTTGGCTGCTCCTCCATCAAGAGCCTAAGCCACCGGCCATTTTCTCTGTCAGCCCCGTGCGCTGCCCATGCCCACTGACTTTGCTCAACAGTCTATGTGACATCTCTAACTCACGATAATGTGACGTACGCACAGATTAATAAAATGTACGTATGTAGAACTTTTTTCGCACCGAGCGTAGCCAACCGGGCTGATTGGAGGTACGTATAACTCGGTAACCGGCCCAGCTAAACCCCCGTCGCGCCGTGCCAGGTGGCTGGCGTTCCAACTGCTGTCGGCGCTGCAGCAGTCGTGCGGGGCCGGCGTGGCGCACGGCGACATCAAGACAGAGAACGTGATGGTGACGAGCTGGGGCTGGCTGCTGCTCACCGACCCAGCCGCTTTCAAGCCCGTCTACCTGCCCGAGGACAACCCCGCCGACTTCAACTACTTCTTCGACACGTCGCGCCGGCGCACCTGCTACCTGGCGCCCGAGCGCTTCGTGGACGGTGGCGCATCAGGCGCGGCGCCGGAGCTGGTCAGCGGCGAGAACGCCAACACGCCGCTGGTGGACCTCGCCGGCAACAACCAGCGCCAGCTCGGCGAGCTCACGCACGCCATGGACGTGTTCTCTGCGGGTGAGCGAGGCCGCTGACCGTGCCGCACGGAAACTCGTGGTGTCCCATTGCCGTGCCGTGTTTGTGTGCGTGTGGTTCGTCACGATGCGATGCAAGGTACACCTACGGCCCGTTCATTGAATTCACCCATGTAGAAACCAGTCTCGCTGCCGGTTTCTGCGTTGTAAACGTGGACCAACACCACCACCGCCCTGCCTCCGTGCAACCACAGCAGCATCGGCCTGTAATCAGCACGCCCGTCAGAGCTCACTCAACACATGTGGCAACGGTGGTAGCAATAATAATACAGACACCTTTAAACGTAGTATACTAAATAGATCCGCAGTCTTTTGTGAACCCACTCTTTGGACGAGGGTCTTGGACCACGCCGTGGGTCAGGGGGGTTATTTGGCCATGCCTCACCACGCTCGTCAGAGCGGGTCCATGAAGGCAGGGACCGTAGACGTGGCAGCATAGTACAGCAGTGGATTTAGCGATACTGATAGTTTCACTGATTTTATCCTTTCGAGGACAAACGCATGCTGGAAAGCGATACGGAATCCACGGTGATTTTTTTTCCCTTATTTAAAAGGCGGCAGTGTTGAAGAAGACGCACCGTTTGTTGCATGGGATTGGCAGGCTGTGTGATTGCGGAGCTCTTCATGGAGGGGATTCCTCCATTCGACCTCTCCCAGCTGCTGGCGTACCGGAAAGGCGACTTCAACCCCCAGACGGTGCTGCGCAAGATCGAGGACGACGACATTCGGCAGCTGGTTCGTAGCCTTGTTCACGATGAGTTCATCCTCATTATGCAGCACTGTAAAGGCAAGGGTTGTTGGATTGCACAACTGTTGTGAAACTTCCTTCCCCTGGGTGTCGAGGTGCCATACCATGGCTTTTCAGGAGAATGGGGTATAGAAAAGTGCTGACTAATATCATCTGTTGCTTCTCTTTGGGATACAGTATCGTCCCCTCGCACATATACGTTTTCTCCAGGTGCTCTGGTTTCCTCCCGCATGTATAAACACTCGTTCTTGGCAGAAAACATCTTAATATATAGATAACCACAGAGCTTGGGCAATTGTTGGCGCCGATTCATCACCAGGCTGCTGCCTTGCAGCTTGTCTGTGGTTCTGCAGCGACTGTGAGGTGCAATTTGCACGAAGGACGATGACGCTACGTCAAACTAAATATTAATATCACACAGTAGGTATTGGGTAAAACCAACGTTGCCTCGAGAAGAAACTTTCAATCGGAGCACACGTCCTGCTGTGATTAGCACGGATCCGAAACACGGACACTAACAAAGGAAATGGAACGAAAACTGAAATGTTCACAAATAATCGTGGCGGTGCTTGCTGGGAATTGCACTGAGAGACAAAAAGAGGACTGCGTGGATGAGAGCACGTATACAAGTTGAAGGTGGGCTCAAAGTGATGATTGCCTCCAGCCGAGACTAACGAAGGAGCGGCAGCCAAAGGAGAGGAACACGCCCGAGAGGATGAGGTCCAGGGAGATGGAGCAACGAGAGTAACCTACTGTGCCCGTCCTGGATGGAATGTTACATCCTAGGACTCTGAGAGATGTCAACAGCTTGAGGTATTCATCCAGCAGTGGATAGAGCATGGCTGATGATAATGATGAGAAACAGGGCCTTGATTTTCTCGCAGTGCTTGCCACAGTTTACTAATGTTCAACGGAAGCTAAAAATATCTCCCCCGCTCAAACAAACGATGTTCGTTTCAGTTGTAAATATAGTCTCTGTGACAGAAGTATGATAAAAAAAAAGTTTCTGTGAGCAATCCGTGAAAGCACTGTTAATGATAGAGATCGCTTTGTTTTAACCCGTGCCCTCATCAAGCCGTGTGCTAGTGATGTATGCAATACAAGTCTGCCAAACAAACTTGGTTTAGAGACGGTGATATTTAATAACCTGTACCAGGGAGACCTCGGATAATCTCGCTGTATTATCGGCGGGTGGCTCTCACTCGGCTATGTTTGTAGCACGGTGATTGAGTCGGGTAGGCAGGTTACTCAGACGTCAGAGTGCTGAGCTGGCACCGCGAGATCCTGGATTCGGATCCAGGTGCCTGCGTCCAATTTAAACTGGATTCTCAAGTGTCATGAATCGACGGTTTCATCCTGGTCACCAGTGACTGCACACAAAAAAATATCGTGGCAAATCTGCTTCGACATGTAATGTGGGTAAATTCTCTCTCTAAGATGTATATTTATGTATTTGACTGCCATGTAACAAACATTGCACTCAGTGGCAAGGGTAAAGGTGGTTAATGCTGCTCCTACTGTGTGGCCTCAGAGGTAGCACTGAAATCTGCTTCTGTGGGCTGTTCTCCAACACAAAGGGTTGCATTTCTGTGCTGGAGAGTCGATTCTTCATTTTGTGATGTGCTGCTGATAGCGCGATCAGCTTGAAGTGTTAGGGAAAAGACCAAAAGAGAATCTTTGTGTACGGCAGGTGCTGCACATGCTGGACAGAGATCCAACGAAGCGCCGCTCAGCCAAGGAGTACCTGAGCCTGCAGCGTGGCTGTGCCTTCCCCGACTACTTCTACTCCTACTTGTGGAAGTACCTGTCCCGCTTTGCCGGGCAGCCTGCCCTCACTGCCGACGAGAAGATACTGAAGGTGCGTGTGCTGGCTCCTCTAACTCCTGACCCCAGAGTGGGAGAAGCGCGCTGCAAATGCATACATCGGGTTTATGAATGCGAGCGGTCTAAACCGGTCATGGGCCCCCCCTTCACCAACCTGCATTGACTAGCGTAGTGCAGTATGGTTAAACAACACCCACGGTCGAAAGGCACGGGGAGGCCATCACCCAGCAGTGAATTGATGAAGAGCTGTATATTGCATTGTTATAGATGTAAATTACAGTTTATGTGAATGTTTTTTACAATGTATTACGCACGTGCACCTGTGATGCCCAACGCTACTGCTATGGGATGAACGTCAGACCTTGCGCCTCATAGTGGCTATGAAGGAAAGTAAGTGGACTTGGGCAAGGACACGTCGCAAGCATGAGCGATGGTCGGTTGGTGAAGCTAACGACGGAGTGGCAGCTAAAGGAGGGAACACATGTGAGAGGATGAACACCGCAGAGATAGACGGATCGTTGTATGGCGACAGCTTGGGGAAACCTTCATCCAGCAGTAGATAATGGGTGATTGATGATGATGACGGTGAACAGATTCAGGAGGACCTCCCAGAGATCCTGCTCGGCCTGGGCTGCGAGGAAAAGCGAGATGAGGAGAAGGAGGGTGCCGATTCGGGCCTTGTCATCATTGTCTCCCTTGTCACCTCGTGCCTGCAAAACCTCCGGTGAGTGGTGCCTTTCAATCAGGCGATTGAGATTGTACATTACCGTAGGCGAGAGGTTGCCAACCGTGTTGGTATGAGCGCCTGCCGATCACGACCACTGGTCCCTACGCCCGTAACCCCCCATCCACAAAAACACAACTGAGAATTATTAAGGCCACAAATTATTAAGGCCACAAATTAAGGCCACAGATCACAGGTCCATGCCTCTAAGTCATCGCGGAGTTAGTAAGGCATTTGTTTCACGTTGTGCTTGAGTGTGTTTTGTCGCCGCAACATCTCGCTGACTTTCCTCACAAACAATCAAACTTTCTCCTGCACGGGATCCATGCCGCAGGATGCGCCCCCCACCCCCTGAAAGGCGTGGAGGGAGGAGCACGCCTCGCGGGTTGAGAACCGCTTGATTTAGATAGTGGCATACCCACGTCACTCTTGCAATTGAGACTATGCTAGTCTCTCGAGTTCTCACCTGGTCCAACAAAAATTAACTTGGACTTGGCATTGAATGATTGATACCCTTACTTGGTAACTCAATGCCCTGCGAATCTTGCGAACCGCAAACCGAACCCAGGCATTGCCCGGCCAAGCTCGCGGCGCTGGAGCTGACGGGGCAGCTGGCGCGGCGGCTGAGCGCCGAGGTGATCCTTGACCGGCTGGTGCCCTACGTGCTGCACCTGGCGGGTGACACGGTGCCGCGGGTGCGCGCCCAGGCGCTGCGCACGCTCAACACGTGCCTGGCGCTCGTCCACTCGCTCCCGCGCAACGACGCCAACGTCTTCCCCGAGTACATCCTGCCGGGCATCGCCCACCTGGCGCAGGACGACGCCACCGTGGTGCGGTTGGCGTACGCTGGTGCGTTAGTGCGCGCGCGTGTCCGTCCAAGAGGTTGTCACTTGACATAACGCCGTAGTAGGTTTTCGCAGCCAATGTTATGATTCATAATTGATTTTTGTGCGGGGCCGTGTAATCATCTCGGCCAAATCTGGCCAAATAATTACTTTCAAGCAAAAAAGTCGTAACCGATTGCTACATTTGGCAGTGATAACTGTTTTTTAACTTGCCGGTGTGAGCTGACACTAATAATAGTTGGTGCTTGAAACACTTGTACACTTGCCAATTAAATTATGTTGGCTGAGTTGGGTGGTGGAGGGTCGCACAGCAAGCCTGTGGCCTAACACAGCGGGGGCCGTGCGCGCGTCACGTGCAGAGAACATCGCCGTGCTCGCGGAGACGGCGCTGCGGTACCTGGAGATGGTGCAGTTGGGCCAGGCCGTGCAGAAGGAGGACATCGCCGCTGACGAGCCGGAAGACTTGCTGCACGTGCGTGGGAGCTACGACACAGGTGGGCACGCGGCTGCACCAACGAGGGCAATTCGGCGCACTTGCGTTACCTGTGATTACACCGAGGGTCCGCTGGGTCTCAGAGGCTAAGCATGCTCAAGCCTGGATAGTGCTTTTGGATAGTGACCGTCATGCAGAAGCAGGTTGTCACAGAGTTACGGCGACCATGTAATGGGCAGCAACAGAGCACATTTGTGCTCTGAATCTTTACCAAGCCGTGCTGACCAGTGTGGTGAAGTATGGTAAAATACTTCCCATGACCCACATGATATGGGGAGACCCTCATCCAGCAGTATGATTCTGTTGATATTTCAAAGGTGTTCACTGTTCCGCCTGCAACTGAACTGTACGCCAAAAAAAATCAGCACGCACAAATATTTGACGCGGCGGTGGGAGGGGGTGAGATGGTGCCGAACGCGCCGCCTCGACGACCCGAGCCAGTCCCTCGGGGGTTAACCCGCAGGCGCCATGCTCGCCGTGCCCTAACAGAGCTGCAGGGCCTGCAGGAGATGGTGCAGCAGAAGGTGGTGACGCTGCTGAGCGACCCGGAGAACATCGTGAAGCAGACGCTGCTGGAGAGCGGCATCACGCGCCTCTGCGTGTTCTTCGGGCGCCAGAAGGCCAACGACGTGCTGCTCTCGCACATGATCACCTTCCTCAACGACAAGAATGACTGGCACCTCCGCGGCGCCTTCTTCGACAGCATCGTGGGTGAGCGCCGAGCCCCTCCGGCACCGACCCCACGGCACGCGTTCCTCGGCTAGTCTCGCCCCCGCGGCTCGCCTCGCCGACTGTGCATGGCACTGCAACCGCAGCGCACGGGCATACGGCGAGGCCTGAAATGGGCCGTTTTGAGACGATACGTGTGTACGTATTGTGTACTCGTACAGCCCTTGAGTCAAATCCTCTGCAGGATAAAGGCCCTCCCCATGTCACGTGGTCATGGCCAGGGATCGGCAACCTGTGGCTCCGGAGCCGCATACGGCTCTTAAGGATTGCCTCGTGACGTTTTTCTCATGCATCGAGGCTCTTCACATGCTTCGAGGCTCTTCACATGAGTGTTTTTTTACCGAATAAAAAACAATGCTTCTTTCTGTTTTGGTTGCAAACCCCTGGTCATAACCCTATTGAGTTTCTTCTCAACAGCTGATTGAATATTGTGTAAGCGATGGCTCCACATCCTACAGAGGAGAGCGTTAAAGGTGCAATGAGCGAGATTGAGATTCGGTGGGAGACGTGTAGAGGCTGTGAAATCCCTCCATGCCTCTTCAAGCATGCTTACATTTTAGTTCCGACTTGTATGTATGTAGAACTTATTTCGCACCGTATGTAGCCAACTGTGCTAATCGGAAGTGCAGAGGTGCGGGGGAAGAACAAACCTCTTTGACTTCTACAGTGGTGATCTGTGTCGTGGCAGGGCGGTGGAACGTCCGTGTTATTTAAGCCGGCGTTTCTCTGCGAGCGGACGATACTGTCGTGTAGCCTTATGGTGGGCCTGCGTGCGTGTATCAGGGGTTGCGGCGTACGTGGGCTGGCAGAGCTCATCCATTCTCAAGCCGCTGCTGCAGCAGGGTCTGAGTGACACGGAGGAGTTTGTAGTGTGCAAGGCGCTGCACGCCCTCACCGCCATGTGTCAGCTCGGCCTCCTACAAAAACCCCACCTCTACGACTTCCTCGGCGACACAGGTAGAGAACGCCCTCTTGCACCACCCCCCCCCCCCCCCACTTTGTCATCGTCATTGTCGTCAAAATCAAAGCGATTTCTGATTAAAATCTCCCCTTTACTGCCTTAAGCATGTCTGATTAGGACCGATGGCTACGTACGGTGCGAAAAGAAGTTAAACATACATAATCTCTGGTGCTTTTGGTTCCTGCCTACTTTTCCAGGCTCACCTTATCGCCGCCACTATTATATTTTCGGTCAGCCAAGTCATGCCCGTGTACAGTGTGGGTCGAGTCAAGCGAGAGAGCAGTCAATACCAAACTTGAGGCGCAAGCCCCCTGCCCCCAAGCCAGCTTTCACACTATAGCGTATATCTGGGACAACACGGTGCGATTACAGTATACCACAGGATGACCCCTTCATCCCGACGCTCACACCTCAGCCTACGCGTTCCCAAACACTCAAACGCCCTTAAAAAGGCACATTTAGCCTTAAACTGGCGTTTACCATCCACTTTGGGTGACGTTCACAAGCAACCCGACTTCGAGGCGAAGCTCGACAATGCGCGTCGTGGGCCACCAGCGGCCTGACACCCTCGTCCGAGGAGAGGGAGCGAGCCGGCGCCAGCCAGCTCCTTTCCACCATAGGGTGGTGTCGGCGGCAGCCTCCCTGCGCGCTGCTCTGCCCGTCCCTGCTCCCCCCCGGGTGTCCAAGCTGGAACCCTGGCCGTTTTCTGGGAACGCTCCTGTTCCCTGCTGGCTGGAGCTCGAGAGCACAGATGGCTGGGGTCTTCCTCCATTCGCCCTCCGCTATCCTTTGGAGGGACTGGTGATTGACTCCTTGTTTGCTGCAGGTGTTTATAAATTTCAATCACTCGCTTTCCCTATTACAGGTGGACCTCACCCTCCATTGTATTCTCCCTTGCAAACTTATTTGTGCCATGTGACATAAGCCATTGGTCGAAATTCCATGTTCCTATGGCAGGGGTGAGTCTATTTCGAGGACAACTGCTGACTGTCCCACTGCTGGGTGGGGGCTTCCCCACCCCGTACTTGACATGCGGATTATTGGACCATACTTCACCCTGCGGGTTGGTGAAGGGGGTGAACGTAGACATGGGAGCATATAAATACAGTACAACAATAGACCCTATTGCACCACCCTCTGCTGCCCGTAGCGTAGCCCCACAGCAGCCTGTAACACCTGCAGCGTACGGCGGCCGCCCTTGCACGCGCCCCCAACACGGAGGGGCGCTCTTCAAAAGCTTCCTCTACGTTTGTGCACGGCACGCACCGTCGTGGTGTTTTGCCGCCGCCGCCAAACTGACGTGGTTGGCGATTAACATCCTGTTCGGCTATTAACATTCTGTTCATACGAGAACCTTGTACCGGTGCAGAAACGGTAATTGTGAGTGATTTGCAGCTGTCTCGCCACCCTCTCCACCCCCCATAAACGTTTTGAAGTTCTCGCATTTTCAAAACCACGCCTCACGCTTGGCTTGGGACCTCTTCCCTGCCCCCCCCCCCCCCACCTCTCTCCACACCTCCTCTCCATGGCACTCGCAGCCCGAGTCCGACCGGCTCGCTAATCTGCAACAGATGTGCTGATGGGAAGCAGATGTCTGGCCCCAGCTGTGGCGAGTGGGCCCCCCTATCGAGGAAGCTGGAGGATGCTCGTTGTTTATTATCAGGGACCCGGCCCTCGCATCGCACTGGACTTGCAATCCAGAGATTGCCGGTTCCGATTTGTTGCAGCCGCTGGCGCGGTAGGTGAAGCAATGGTGAAAGTTTCCTAAATCCCTGCGCCTCTGTGCACCCAGCAGCGTAAATGGGTGCACCGCAGTGGATCTGCAGGTCGCATGCAGTGGAGTAGTTGTGGGTGACCCGCACCTTTTCCAAGACATCTGGCCAGCGTGGAATAGTAGGTCAAAATAACTTTTAGAAAGGTTCTCTTGAGCTCCGCTCCCTTGAGTGGAGGCCCATTTTCCAGCAGTGGTGTGAGCAAGAAGTTGCAGGGCTGCACCTTTATCTTGCTACACAGAGAGGGGGGCGGGGGGGTCGTTGGGGTGATGTATGTTCTGGCACTCCTGCCTAGAGGGTCGGACTGTCCCTTTTGAGGTGTTCGGCGAAGACAAGGAATGTTGTCCAGCTGCCCGTTTAATATCCATCACTTACGTTTTGTTTACATGCCCTCCGCATTCTCTTAATAATAATAATCAGCATTGCAAACCGGCTGTGTTGGTTGTGTCTGTCATTATGTAAATGTTATGGCAGGGGCGGTGGTGGTGGAGATGACAGTGATGATAAAATTAAGGCGCTGGCATTTATGGGGATATTTTTTTCCCACCTGGGTATATGGAGAATTATTGATGTCAAGCATGTCTATCAATTTAAATTATGACAGTGAAAGTGATGATGTCGAAGATGATGATTATTTTGATTACAATGATGGTAAAGATCATGCTTTTCATGTTTAAAAGTACCATGATTATTTTGTTAATGATGATGTTGATGACAATGATGATGATGACAGTCTTGGTTTTGATGATGACAACAACGATGGCGACAATGGCGATTTTGGCAATGATGATTCCATTGACAACGATCACAACGGTGATGACGATGATGGAGACCGGCGTACGCCGTAGCCCCGCGTTGTAGGCCGTGTGGCTCTCACATGGCTCCGCGTGCGCCTGTCTCGCCGCTGCCGCCACGCTGTCGGTGCCCTGTCTCCCTGCACGCAGTTCCCTTCCTGTGCCACCCCAACCTGTGGATCCGCCACGGCGCCGTCGGGTTCATTTCCACCGTGGCCAAGCGGCTCAACGTGGCCGACGTCCACTGCAACCTCATGCACCTACTTCGGGCCTACATCAGCCAGCCGACCATCCAGGTGCGTGATGCAGCCATCGCCGGCCGACCGCAGCTCACGTTACCGATGCGGCACGCCTGAGCGTTTCCGTTGAATTATGTGGCCTACCCAAAGAACCAGTTATGAATCGATGCATTCATTCATTGAAGCTTTAGTTGCTTAGCCACGTGAGGCCTTATAATGAACCTGCCAGAGTTACATGGTGCGGTGAAGAGCAGTGGAAAGCCGATTAGGAGATGCCAGTGCAGGGTAGAAGGAGCAGAGGGAGACCCGGTGTGAATGGAAGGATGCGTTGGAACGAGAAATTAGGATGACAGTGGACGTGACGAGAGAAGAGGCGCACAATGGAGCAGCCCGCACCGTGCAGTAAGCGGACTTTTGGCTTCGAAGAACAATACTGAGCTGAGATCCTGGGTTCGAATTTTGCGTAGGACGTATAGCCAACGGAAGAATCCAGTTCGCCCTAAGGTGAACGGGTGGACCAGAGGGTCACCGCTGAGGGCCTGGGTTGGAGTCCGGGTTTCAGCCGCCGCCCGTAATCAAATCGGGTCGCAGGCCCGAGCGCCTCCCCGCTGATGTGAGCGCGCCGCTGCGTGTGCCGGCAACACCCAGGTGGAGGAGACCATCGTCCTGCTGAGCGTGCTGAAGGAGCCCCTGTCGCGCCCCATCTTCGACTACGTGCTCAAGTCGCGCGACATCCTCGGCCTCTTCGACCACCTGGAGGACCGGCAGCTCATCCGCAACCTGCGACAGAGCATGGAGAAGCCTGACGACCCTTCCCTCGCCCAGCTCCTGCGCAAGCTCTTCTCTCAGGTGTCGGGAGTTGTTCGTTTATCGTCTCTAGAGCGTTTTCTTGTGCTGCGGCGTCGGCAATGCAGGTTCACATGTCGTCTCCCGAATACGACTGCGTCCCTATACGTTCGTCGTTATCGCGGGGCCGTGGTGTTTGGCACGGCCTGTGGGATGGTGTCCCGTACCACTTCCCACTGCCAAATATGTGGTTTTTATTTCTTTATTGTGCTTACTCTGTTACGTTTGTTTGAACCTGTAATTTGTGGGTGTGCCGTTTATATCTTTGCCTGTATTTAGTTGCTGTGTATATTTTAATTGTTATGGCTATTATGACTGTTATGCTTACACGCCAATGCAACTATAATTAGTCGTGTTTTCAGGGCCGTCTGTGGGTGGAGTCTTCATGTTCATTCTGTAGCTGGCGTGGGAGCTTAGTCGGGGTTAAATTTAAGTTTCGGGTCAGTGGGGCAGAAAAGGAACGAGCTTTGCTGACCTTACCGACGATTGACTGATGGGGACCGGCTCTTAGCCTCTCTGTTAACTATACACCCTGGAGATCAGGAGCAAAGTGCTTAGCACGCTCTGCTAGGAGCCTAGCGACCCGAGTTTATTGAGTTACTTTCAAGGCCACGCTGACATCACCGTCGAGTGATATCTGGGCACTCCCTTCACCGACCGCTATGGTCAAACGACCTCCCACGACCCGCACGGTGTGGTGAAGCCGTTATCCAGCAGTGGATTATGGAAAGGGCTGTAAATGATACGCCTGGTAAACGCGAGTAAAGCTGTCCGTGGTGCGCGCTCACGGACACGTGTTGCGCTCGTCTTGGCGCACGCGGGCAGCGCATCTCGGCACAATGCAAGTCATCTGGAAGCGATAACGCGGCTGCCGAGCTGTCCAGGGAACAGCCTAGCTCTGCACGTCACGCCGCGTGCTGTTAGGTTCCCGCGTCTGCGTAGCGTTACTCTCGGCACAGCCCTCACTCGGAGTTTTAACTCGTACGAGCATAGGAGCGAGGCTGCACTAAGGACAGTAAAGTAATCGTAGTAATAAAGTTAAGCTCTTTGCCGATCCGCCAGCGGATGGAGGATTGACCCCCCACGTTAGGTCACTCGTGAGGGTTGCTTAGCAACACTTCACTATGCTGGTCAGTGCATTGTGTCATCGGGCTCATAGCGCAGTGTGATAACCACCGTTTTCTGTCGCTCCATCGCCCCCACATTATATTTACGGGTGCTGTTTTGGTCAAAGGCTTTGCAGTGTGGATTTTGATCAAGGGACAGTGCCAATGTTCATTCTCCAGTGGCGGTGTAATGAAAAACTTGAGCGCAAGCCACTGCTCCTCATACAGAACGCTTTTCTACGCTCATGAGCATGAACATGTTGACTGAGAACACAGCTGCCTTATCGCTAAACCTGGCTATCATCGCGCCGCTCATTACGGCCCTTTAGACCGACGACTGGAAGTGTGCAAATTACCCCCCAAACAGGGGCCCATACGCCCGCACGCACACTCCCATAAGCCACGGGCATCGCCGTTGGCGGCCGAGCGGAGGTATGCTCTCCGACGCTGGCTGAGACTAATTAGCGGTGAGCGGGCTGCACGCGGGGGCCCCACGAGGGGCAGGGAGCCACCGCACCGCACTGGAATGCGCTCGTGCACCGCAGCGCACGGGCACGCGGCTCCGCACGCCAGCACCGCGGTTGTGATGCATCACTCCTGACGCTGCGTACAGAACGTGACGATGGTTTCCGCCGCACGCACGCTCTCCGCTCCAGCCGTCCATGGACTCGCCCCTGACTACCCCTCTCATCTCCCGCTACTCCCCTCAACACACGCTTCCTTCCTCTTCCCTCTCCTTTCATTCTCCTATCTCTCCCCTCTCATCTCAGTCTACTCCCCTCATCTCACTCTACTCCAGTCCATGCACTCTTGTCTCGAGCAACCAAAGGTGTCTGTCAAAGCCCCGGTCAACCTTTACTCAGAAAAGTTCGTTCATTCTCCTCTGCTATCTCCATAGTCTTCAATCCCCTTCCCCAGCCATCAGAGCTGTCAACTCCCTGTCCCTGTTCAAGTCCAGGCTCAACACCTGTAACTGACTGCCTCTCTCTGTACAATAAATATGCCATTGTTTCTGGACAGCATCTAGAGATGTGGTCACATTTAGACGCCGCTATATGAATTCACATCGCATCGTACAGTGACCGTGCTACATTGCTGTCAGTAAAATCGGGTGCATTTTCGGCGATTAATGTCTGAGCGTAGTTTTTGGCAGACAACTCGAACCTTGCTGACTGCTGATGCCGATCGCTTTTTCAAGCGGTCGGGCCCACGCCGGGGCCTCTGTTGCGCTGCGCAAGTGAACTCGATGGGCGCGCACGTTCTTCTGTTTGTTTTATTTCGGCGTCTGAGCTGCGGCTGGAATGCTTGGATACAGCTCCAAAGTATACATTGGCTTCACAGGCGTGCGTGAGCTGAATGGGTCTCCGGGTCCTTTCTCCCATTCATTCCCTGGCACAGATGGGATTTATTTTTTCTTAAGCTTTTGAGGGGGGACCCGGCTTTCGGGGAAGACTCGGGGTGGTCTTGGCGGCCGCTGTGTGGGCAGTGTGGCTTCTCGGCCGTCGGCTGACTCCGCTCCGGACTTTAATCCGTTTGCTCGGAGCGAGACGCACGGACATGACCCGGCAATGCTCGCTCACGTCCGTGTAGGAGGGAGCAGGCGAGCGGTGATGAAAAGCGGATAAATGTTTAGTGGAGGAAATGCGGTGGTTCCGTGGAGAGAAAATCCATCTGGTTAGTTGGCAGTGGAATGCATGGAGAGGTGCATGCTTAGAATTGCATTGAGAGACAGGGAACACGTGGCTCAGAAAACAGATGCAAGTTTGCAGACACCGTACTGACTGTCAAAAAGAGCACGTGGTCTTTGACAGGACCGATTAGGTCGACGGTCAAGGCTACGGGCGGAGTGGCAGCCAAAGGAGAGAACACACACGAGAGAATATGACCCAGGATTGAACTGTTAGAATTCAGTTTTGTGAACAGACAGAGCACTGTCTGAAGAATGTGGAATTTACACCACTGGCTCAGGACTGGCAGTGGAGGTGAGCAGTAGTCAGGGAGACACTTTGACTTGACTTTTTGTGGCATGAAAAGAGGCTTGTGAGGGAAGGTTGAGTTGTTTGGGAGAAATTAGTGAACGTAATGTTACTGGGTGACCTCAAGATAAGAGGTCAAGGTGCAGGGCACACGAGCAAGCAGAGATGAAGAGCATTAGGATTGATCCCATGACATCCACCCACTCGGGACATTACAAATGTTATCCCAATTGCGCTATCGGTGTCACAAGATGAAGTATCCTTTTGGGTCTATCGCAGAGCAGTGCTAACCTTCACGTTGGATAACGACCCAAAGAAGTCGATATCACAAAGCGATCTTTGGGAATCCTTCACGTCATTTCTGATCCACATACAATAGTGGGCAGCAATTTCCCACCCACTCTCATACCAAAAATATACATATTTTTACTCGAGTGTTAAACCGATATCTTAAATTCTCAAAGCTGCAACTTAGTCCAAAATCTAAATAAATGCATGTGAATAATTTCAAATCGTTTTTTGTGCTCTGACTTGGGTCTCAAAGTTTTGGGCGACTTTCACTAGGGTTTGTCCCTCCTAGCAACACAGTTGTATACTAAAGTTGTGTTCATATTGCATCCTCTTTACAAGCGTTATTGTGCCCTGCCATTGTACGCGGAAAGACAGACAGACGCACAGCAGGACGGATGGACAGAAATAATGCACTCACGCTTTCAACTTGATTTGAAAGGCGTTAATTAAGGTAATAGTGGGGATGGAAGGACGGGTCGTGATAACTGTGGCTCCCCACGCTCGCGCAGGGCATGACCTCCGCAGACGAGGACAAGCTGATCGCGCTGCGGGACTACATGGTGAAGGTGCACAAGGCCCGCGCCACCATGGTGGAGCTGGGCCCCGAGGACGACGCGCTGCCGCGGGGGACCATCAGCCTCAACGCGCGCGGCAGCGGCGGCGTCAAGCCCATTCCACGCCATGCCGACCTGGGCCGCGCCGGCCCCCCGGACGCCGACGAGAGGAAGGGTACGGTTTCTGAGGCCGAGCGGCCGCGCGTTCGCTGCTCGTCGCGGAGGTTTTTGCGGCTCGAGGCCCCCCGCCGGCTGCCGTGTTTGACGCTGGGGGCGTGGCCACCGTGAAAGCGTAGTAGTCCGCTTCAGAGTGGGCGTTAAAGAGCCCGCGGCGTTTTGCGAAATATAGAAGGCCAGGTGTGTCGTTGCCATGGTCCAAATTTACCTTGTTTGATGAACCACTCCTGGGCCGTGTGTTCAGTCAGTCCCGCAAACTCCGGCTTAGGCCCGTAACGACACGTCGCTTTAAAGGAGGCTCTTACGCTCACGGAACGTGCTCCGAATCGTGCGTGTGAGAATCGATGTATTACTCTATATGCAAATGAATCGTACACTCTGTGATAATGTTACACGTAGGCTAATGGAGCGAACACAGCTAGACAAAACGAGGCCAGTAGCACACTTACAAACAATATGAAAAAAAATCAGAGCAAACAACAATTGACTCACATGGGGGAAGGGTGAGCAATTGCAGCATGCCGAATGGGAAGCGTTGTACCGGGCGCGGAGTGAAGGGGGCCCTCGTGCTGTCTCAGGTTCGGGTGGAACAATACCCCCCTCTGTTCGATCCCCGTAGCTCCTGGAGATTACTCCACTGGAACGCGGCTCGCTCTCAGATTCTCATCTTCACGACGCGCTCGCAAACCCCGACAGCCCACGTGGTGTTAGCCTCGGAGCGAGGCTCTCCCCGGGACCCCCACCTCCCATGCTTCCAGTCGACTGAGCAGAATAAATCTGATGCAGGATTAAATATACGGAGCGCCGCTCGGCTGTCCTGACTGGTCTCTGTGGCTCCGCGCACCGAGTGCACCGTCTGTGAACTGACATACATTACAATGCCGCACTCTGTGACCCCCCGCAGTCCACATTCGCCGGGTTTTCCAAGTCCACTCAAGTATTCTTTTATTATTTAGGGTGTATTATTTTGCTGAAGACTGCACATCTTTCTTGTATACTTTAGTAATTTAATAATGAGTATGATAGATATTGCAAAGACAGTCATACGCAGCAATGATTCAATGATGAATAATACATCATAGGTCTGGGTTTTTCCTACCAGTTTTGGCCAATCCTTGGATCAATGCGGCCAGTATTCTATCGGCTAAGCCCGCAATAGCAGTACAACGCTAGACCAAAGCTTCGTTCATTTTGCATCATCCGAGTTTTTGCGCATCCCCGTTACACACGGACAGAGCTCATGCATGAATACTTTCGACCTTGGTTGAGAAATGTCCACTTGCAAGGTTAAGAAACAGGACATTTAGATGTCGTACGGCGCTCTGAGACGCCCTGACATGAAGGGCGCTCTATCAACACATATAATAATTATTATCATAATAACGTACATTGTTGATGCTTTACTATGCTATATAATACAATTAAGCGGTCTGTTTAATTACTTATTTACCCAGGCAGGCCACACTTCTACATTGGAGTGTTTAGCCAACACCCATGACGTTGCGTGTGTGGGAGGAAACCAGAGAACCTGCAGGAAACCCACGCAGAGCAGAGGGAGAGAACACAAAAAACACAGAGAACGGTGCTCGAGTCAGCAATTGAACCCTGGTCCTTCCTGCTGTGAGGCACGATTGTTAGCACTGCGCTTCCACCTTCCCGCCCTACCTAACAGGACGTGTTTGAGTTCCCCCTAATGAGCACCATTAAGGGACTCGGGGGAAAACTATTATCGCGTTTCCCGGCAATCCCCCCTCGCTCTAACCACTGGAATCACGGGGAGGGCGATCGGCTCCGTGCCCACTGACCTGGCACCGTTGTGCGCTCGTCGGCCCCCCTCTCGCCGGTGCCACGCCAGGCGGTGCCAAGAGGGCTGTGCGTGCCGACACGTCCATGAACGAGGAGTGGAGGAGCATGTTCGGGGCCCTGGAGGCGCCAGGGATCGCCATCGGCAAATCCTCGCAGGGGAGCGCCGGCGGGGCCCCGGAGGCATCTCAGGGCGCTGGCGCCCGTTCCCAATCCGCCCCGCCAGCGATTCCCGTCCTCATGTCACAGCTACAGGTGAGAGCGGCGCGAGCTCCCGTGCCCGCGCAGGTGCGCTTTCCAGCAGGGGCGCAGGTCGGACGTGACCCAAGGCTTAGTTTCATTCGGCCCACGGCTTCGTTTTTCATCGACGCTCGACACTGCCGTTTCACGTGGCCCACCATTTTGTACAGCCTGCGGCTGACATGACGCGGTCCGTGGCTTCCATTTCATACGGCCTATGGTCACGTGAGGCCTACACTTCGTAATGGTCGGCAAACAATATTTATCCATTTCTGCAAGCGTTTTAATCTGGTGCTCTAGGGGAATATTTAAAACTTTGCTACGCTGTGTTTCTGATTTTAGCACCACGCTCGATCACTTCCATTCCTGCAAGGGCCCCTGACAGAAGAGGCGAATGTTGTGGTTATCCATCAAAGGCATTTTAAAAGCCAGTTCACATCTCAGTAAAGATAGAGGGTCTCCGCACCTGGTTAACGGTCTCATTTATTTACTGGATCTGCTCTGCCTGTCCTTTTCCCCACTCATTGCTGCCCGAGGCCATCATCTCCATGTCTACTCCACAATCCTTCGTATCCTAGATGACCACTCGGAACCAGCTGCTTAATATTAGGCCGACCTCTCGATTCCTGCCTTGGTGCATTTACGATTGTCACCTTCCTTCCGGTGATGGTTTCCTCTCTTTGCACACCATGCCCTAGCCATGTTAGTCGACTTCTCTCAGCACTTCTCCTTCTTCCTTGTCTCTTCATTTCTCACTCCGTGATGTACAGGAAAGCGTAGCCCAAAAAATCGAAAATATCTCATCCTGTAGCTACACCCAGGCTGTGGATCCAGGGCTGAACTATGTAGACTTCAATCTCCGTTGATGGGTAAAAGGACGTTACGGCCACATGGTCCATTACGGTGACATCTCTGTGACGTTTTGCATCCACCAATGCAGTGATGTCACTCGGGTGCTGTAAGGGTGCACCATACCTTTATTCATTTTCTTTTCCATTACCAAAGATTCAATCTCTTGTCAGAACACACAGCCCATGTACGAATCTCCAAGATAGGAGCTGTTTGGTCATTGGCTTGCCTTTGCCTGTGTGATCAACGTAACTTGAACGTGCGTGCACTGAGCTCAGGAACTCGGGCCAGCCTACAACAATAACACAAAGTCCGTTGGATGTGTAAACAGTTTCACTCTCCAAGGACATAAAAGGTCGAGCGTCCGCACCTACGTTGAGTGTTAGCTGCCCAACTTTAAACACGTGCTCGAACGCCAAGATTTATTGTTGTACACGCTGGCAATTGAGGCGGTTTATTTATTTCTTCAAACGCCGCCGTAGTGGAGCTCACGGATGCACGCCGTGCCGCCTCTATCCGGTTCTCCCTCCACCGCGCTTGGACCATCGGCCTCACCGCGACGAAAATGGCGGCGCTCGTAACGGCCGCACCAGGAAGCCGTTCGACCGGAGGCCGCGATGAGACACCGGCGCTCGGATAGCGGCTTTGCCGGGGAGGGGCGGGGGAGTCCTTTTGGCGCTGGTTTGGGCACCCGTTTCGCCACTGTGGCCGGTTTTCGACAGGAAAGTCCCAAATAGCATTGCAACCTTCCACAGTTTTGTTCTTGTTGATTCATAGCTGCTAGAGTTATTGTCATAAGAATGCGAGGGTTAGTATAATAATAAAGAGCGTCGTTCGTGCGGATTGCATCGCAAATGGCCGTAGAATTTGTAACGCGCTGCGCAGTGTTTCACACGACAGAGGAGGTGCAGGAAACCACGGACAAAGAGGGAAGGCAGCTAGAACCGCCGCTAACGATTGTCAAAGCTCTGTGATCCTCTTTTGGGATGTTTGGCTAACTAGACCTCGTGTTACAAGCCAGATGGACGGAGATAACGTGTAAACACCCTCCACCGGCGTTGGAAAGCATTTGAATAGAATCCAGGGCGCAGCTGTTTTGGAGAGGCTGCCCCGGATCGCTTCATTTTCCTGCCATAAGCGTTGCAGGCACGGTTTTGCTGGCCGCTTTGTAAACGCAAGAGAGAAGCGCGCCTTTGTCCGCGCCATCTCATCAGCGCTAACGTGCTGTGACGGCCAAGGCCAACGCGGGCGGCGGCAGTAACACAGAAATAAACCACCTCTGACAGTCCCCAATACGATTCCAGCCCCACGCGACGTCTCGCCGCGGAAAGCAGATGTTCGTCGGGCAAACGGAACGGCGGAGGCAGAACGTGAAAGCACGTATGCCTGTGTACACATGTTTACATGTACACACATGTATACGTGTACACACGTGTACATGTACACAAGCCTACATGTGTACAGGACCTTTGATAGATCCACTGCTGGATGAGGGTCTTCCCACAATGTGTTCATCGTGGGAGTTATTTGACTGTACTTTTCTTTGCTGGACTTTGTTGACCTAGATTTTGCTGCACTGCCCACAACATGGAACAGTTCCGCAGTTGCCTGTGGCATGCACAGTTCGTCGCCCAACTTTGTTTGTCCTTCCTCCACGCGTCCGATTAGCGCGGTTGGCCACGTACGGTGCAACACACATACATACAACTAAGCACTCTCAAAGATCAACCCTCCTTCGATTCCCAAATCTGACCTGGTCGGGTGCATTCCGAATTATTTGATCGTTTGACAAAACATTTGAGGACAAAGGAATCGGCGGGTGACCTCGGCAAAGGCAGAGGCGTGTGGTTGTGCTTCCAGGAAACCTTTGTTCTATTTAGGAGTGCGTCGCCTGCCCCTGTCTGCATGCCTGAGCTGCAGTGTGGAGTGCGGGCGACGTGCACTTCTCGTTAAAATACCTAGCACGCTTTACACCCACGCAGCCAGACAACCCGTTCTCCACCGTAGCCTTGCATTGCAGCCCTTGCATGCTTTCTGAGAGATACAAGGGATTTTTTGTTACCCACGGCACGACGTGGATAGCACAATAACTTCGAGGAAAAAAAGATAAAATGATTAAGTAAACCTTTTAAGAGCCATTTGTTGTTTGCGCTGCATGTTATTTGAACCGGGCAAACATTTCCCCAGGCAAGGGAGGTTGTGGCCTCCTCCCCTCCGAAGAGGGCAGCTATGGCCCAGCAGCATCATCAGCAGCATCATCAGCAGCAGCATCATCATCAGCATCATCATCAGCCAACAGCGGCGGGGCCACAGGAGGGCGCGGCGGGAGGCTACCAGCCCCGGCACGCGCCGTGCCGCGCCGAGCTGGCCCAGCTGCTGAAGCAGCGGCGCGAGCAGCACAGCCAGGACCACGCGCTGCAGGGTCTCATCGACCGCGTCGAGTGGGAGAGCAGGCCGCCCCCGCCCGGTACGCGCACCGGGATCGATCGCACTGCTGGACGAAGGGCCTCCGCCGCAGCAAAGGGGGTCGCTCGAACACGGTTTGCCACGCCGGGGCAATGGGGGTGGCGAATGAGCGGGTGCGGGGGAGGCCACTAACGTTTCATATTTCACTCGCCACTGACGTTTGCCGTGGTCGGTAACGTAATTGGAGAACTCTCTCTCTAAAGGGGACCCCATTATCGACCTCACTGAAGATCCTCATTGTACACCCCGTCCCGTCTAGTGTCTCATTACAGAACGTATTCCTTATATAAAGTCATGAATATTAGACTGCGTTCATCTTCACCACCTTTATATTTGACGTATCCACTGCTAGATGAAGTCTCCCTTAAGCCATTGTCATCTCTCATGGCCTCACAATGCCACCACTCGGTCCTCAATGGTGCGTGGTTCTTTGGCTGAGCCATCCCGTCTGAGATCACCTGCAGGGAGACAGGCGTATGTGCGTATCAACGGCGCACGCCCTTTGTGTTCGCCGCCGCTAGGCTGGCGTCCCAAAGGCCTGCTGGTGGCGCACCTGCACGAGCACCGGGGCGCCGTCAACCGCATTGGGGTGGCGCACGACCACGCGTACTTCGCCACCTGCTCCAACGACGGCACCGTGAAGGTGTGGGACAGCCAGAAGATGGAGGGGAAGAGCTCCACCACCAGGCGAGTGTTCTAGAAGCCAGGGGGGGCTGTACCGGGGATTTAAGACTTGGATTGCTGAACGTGGGGTTTCGACGGCCGAACTCAATCGGGTGACGCGAATACAGTTGTAAATTAATAAAATATCACCCCTGTTCCCGTGTGTGCCGCTGGACGGGAGGTGACGGGCGAGGCTCGCTGGCCTCATCGGCATCGCCAGCCACGTCGCACGGGCGTGGCTTAGCCGGCACAGATGTTAAAGTGGCGGAAGCACTCGGCTACGATAAGAGTAGTCGATTACAAATGCTCAACGATTCAGTTGCTTAATCTGCGACTTGTCGCAGGTTACTGGCTAAATAGGATGGACAATTGCCTGTTGTTATCTCTCACCAGAATTTGTATTCACAATCTCGCGCCGTTACCAAGATATAATTCACAAAATATGCGCTATTTGATACGGGAAATCGTATATCTCCCTTTTGAGTCTATTGGTCGTTATTAATAATTTCCAGAAATCATTTCCTCATGTTGTCTATTGAGTGTAACCTCATCCTCGCCACTCGGTGAGGTCAAATGAGAATTTGCGATGCACAGGCAGTCACGTGATAATTTCCCGATTAATGAATTTTCTGAATTTTTCATGTTTGCGGTGGCGACCAGGTCCAAGTTTACGTACGCACGCCAGGGCGGGCACATAAAGGCGCTGGCGTTCTGCCAGGCCTCGCAGTCGCTGGCCACCGCCTCAGACAACGGCTCCATTCACGTGCTCAACATCGAGACGAGCAGCAGCGCCAGCAAGATATCGCTCACGCACAGCCGGTGCGCCACCACACCACAGCGCTACCCGACCACACCACTGCACAACCGTATCACTACACCATTGCACCATCACACAATCACACCACCGCTTCATCATCTGGCCGATGACAAACAATTGATGGTGATGATGATGATGCTGATTAATTACTCTCTCGGAACCCAGAAACCTGGAGCTGTTGCAGGACGGCTGCGTTGTGGACATGCACCACTTCCACGCCGGCGCGCAGTCGGTGCTGGCGTACGCCACGGTGAGCGGTGCTCTCGTGGGCTGGGACCTGCGGGCGCCGGCGGGGGCGGCCGCGTGGGGCCTGCGCCACGACCTACGCTACGGCCTCATCACCTCCTTCGCCGTCGACATCCGCCAGTGCTGGATCGCCGTGGGTGCGTCGCTCAGCTTGCCGGGGTTTTATGCCGTCTGCTTCCTCCACGAGCTGGCAAATTAACGAGTCTGGGAATTAGCGAGTCTTGAACGCTCTTCCTTCTGATAGTAGAAAGCCATTGCAGCTCTGCGCGTTTTAAGCATCTATATTGAAAACTCATTTCTAAAAAACAGCTTTTTTTGTTAGTTTGCGTGTCCTTCCCTTGCACCTCCGTTTAGCACGGTTGGCTACCTACGGTGCGAAAGAAGTTCAACAAACATTCATCACTCACGTCACGTTGTCTGTTTCAGGTACGAGCAGCGGGACAATGGTGTGCTGGGACATGCGCTTCCAGCTTCCCATCACGACGCACACGCACCCAACGCACGCTCGCATCCGCCGCCTTTCCATGCACTCCGACCACCACTCCTGGGTGCTCGCAGGTCTGCGCCGCATCACGCACTGCACCGCACCGTCCTCACCGCACACATCACACCGCGCCACATGCACCATTCACACCGGCAAAGGAGGTCCCATGATGTAACTGCTCAACCCGAGCTCTCAATGTCCTGATAGTGGCATTGTCTTTGTGCCGTTCGCCTTTTGGTGTCCTCTGGTCTAACACTGTTTGAGACTAGGCTCTAAAGAAAGCTGTCTATGGTGTGGACCAATAAGTTTCAAAGACAATGCATCATCATGGACTACCAGAGCATTTTTTTAATTGCATGTTCACCACAAGTATATGTGGTTAATGCAGACATCTTAACACAACTGTTTAATTTCCATAAAGGGTAAAACCTATTCTTATATTTTGATACTGGCAAGGGAGGTCCCATGATGTAGATTTAGACTTTACAAAACTGTACAAAAGAGGCTATTTAAAGCAAGATATTATACAAGCTAGATAACCGGGTGACTTGATCCTTATGGTGGTACCCCGGGGTACCAAATAATACAAAATGGCCGAGGCAATTAAATACTTTATTTCTGGGACACTATTTTTTCCAGGGGTGTACTTCACTCCGCTACTGGTGTACCAATCAATCCGAAATCGGTACCACTCCGCGATGTCGAAACGCAGCGAGGACGATTGCGCTGAAACCCGGAACGCTCGCGGCACGCACCGTAGTGGTACATCGTGTACTACAGCTCGTCGAGATGAGTCGATTGCCGCATTGCCGACCATCAACAGACTTAAAATGACTGCATCACGGACATTATACGAGAGCCGGGGTACCGTCATAAGGTTCACTTGCTGTGAGATGCCTGGCGCTCACACGGCTGGCACGCAGCTCCCTCTAGTGACACCTTGTTGAATATTGCATCGCACAGCGCTACCGGGTTTACACTGCCACTGCAACAGCGCTCTCAAGTTTTCTGCGCACTAGAAATCTGTCGGTTCGGTATCGGTGCGAGCCGTCGCGAGCCCAGCGCAGTGAGTATTTGGCGATGAGCTCCCCAGGCTGACTTTATAGACGCGAGCACGAGGTGACGATTCAAATTGACTCGTCCCCGGTGAAATCGCATCTCACGTCGCCGCACAGTGGGAGGGCACGCGCGTTCAGGAGACTGGTGGAGGTGACATTTCGGCTTTCGTTTCAAGGGGGAGGCAGTGAGAGGGATATCAGCCGGCAGGGTAGAGAGGCGAGATGACAGTGCAGTAGGGCAAGATTGAGGATATTTTTTAGTCAGAGGCAGCTAGTCACAGCCAGAGAAGAAGAGGAAAGTTTTGACCCTGGGCTTGAACAGGAGCCCATGGCAATGGATGGCTGGAGGAAGGGACTTCTAGTCTATGGGGGCAGCAAAGGAGAATGAGTGACCTCTCACTAAGCGAAGGCTGGTTTGGGGATTCAACGGAGTGTGGACTTGAGCGGGGAGAGGTAGGCAGGGTGCGAGTCCTTGGAGGGTCTCAGAGATGGAGAGAGCACAATCTACTCGGCTCAGAGCGTCGGCAAACCCACCGTAAGATTACCGGCAGCGCCTGCCGACTGCTCACCCAAGTGTCTGACCGCCGTGCAGCCGTGCAGAGCAACAACGAGGTGTCCATGTGGAACATGGAGACGGGAGCCAGGCAGCACACGCTGTGGGCCAGCGGGGCGCCGCCACTCTCCGAAACCCAGGTGAGCGCACCGGCACGACGGCATGCAGCCCAGGCGATGAACGCACGCAGCACCGCCGCATCCAGCTTTGCTGCCACCGCCCAGCCAAATCGGCCGCCCGTGAGCCTGCCCGGCGCAGGCCGCCGTGGCTCCTGGGTGGTCTGGTTGAAGCAACGCGGCACAGGTCACCGAGCGGCGGCTAAAACAATAGCAGCAGCGGAAGCCGGGAGGGAGGATTTGGCTTAAGGGCCGCGTCGTGGGGGTGCACGGTGGTAGCGCACCGCGCTGTGATTTTCACCTATGGCTAAACCGGTTCAGCACTCCCACTTCATAAATCCAGTGTGGTGCAGTATCTTCAACGCCCTGGCCGAAAAAGCTCTTTTATTTAGCGCCGGGTGTTTTACTGCTTTGTTTTTGGCAACCTTTTCATCAATAAGACCAGTTTTCAACAGGTTAAGTCCATATCTAGGGACAGTTTCATATGCTAACATTTTGTTTAACACGTGGGCTTTCGCGACCAATATCCATAATGCAGGTTTTTTTGGTTAGATCGCGCAAATAAAATATTTATTTACGCGATCTTGTATTATGGATAACGTTTTGTTGATATTGGATTTCGGTTATGAGAGTTATCGTGCTCTCATGTTACAGACAGACAGACGTGCTGAGCTCACGCATGAATACTCCGAACCTTACTTGGAGAGGGTTTAAATTGCAAGAGCTGCACCATCCGCCCTCCTGGCTCCGAGACCGGGCCGCGGTGCACCCTGCAGGACGGTGCCACCGATCGTTTGACAGTGACCGCCGACGGTGACCGTTGGCGTGGGTTCGTGTCCCTGCGCAGGTCTCGAGCGACAGCGTCCACGGCCTCTACTACAGCCCGGCCGACGGGAACCCCTTCCTGCTCACGGCCGGCTCGGACATGCGCATCAGGTTGGCGCTCTCACCTTGGCTGCTCGCTGCAGAGAGCGGCGGAACTTTCACCCCGTCCCGTCCGATGTTTGAAGCTAAGCCGGGTTGAGCCTCGCGCGGCGCTTGGATCGGAGAGAAAGAGGAACACTTGGATTGGAGAACGTGCGCAGGTTCAGGACATGATTCATGCTGTCGAGAAAAACGAGCGGGCAAGGGGGGGCAGGACGCGTCTGCTAAACGGGATAGTGGCCGGGGGGCAAACGTCGTGGCGGAGTGGCAGCCAAGGAACGGCGCGTATCCGAGAGGATGCCGATCGAGGAGATGGAGCGATGAAATCAGCTCGAGTGCAGGTGCTGGGTGGATGTTTACATCGCAGGTCTCGTCGGAGATGGTGGCGGCTTGGGGAGGCTTTCATCCAGCAGCGGATCAACTGTGCTTGATGGTGACGACGATGACATCGATACCGTATCCCTTGCAGCGCTAACCCGGATCCTCCTGTTTGCGCTGCACAGGTACTGGGACCTGGCGTACCCGAAGCAATCATACATCATCGCCGGGGCGGCCAGGGACAGCCTGCACCCGTTCTCCGTGTCCTACCAGTCCAAGATCATCGAGGGCACGGAGGTTGTGCAGGTGGGTGGCTGCGTGGACCCGCGTCTGTGTGCTGGCCTGTGTAACAAGAGCCGCGAGATTTCCAAAAACAAAACTAAAAATACCTTGAGTGGAAATTTTCCTCCCTGTGCGTCACAATTCGTTTAGCAGTGACTTCTTGGTCGTTCGTGTGTCGCTCCCCCCCCCCTGCCGAGTGCGTGTAAGTCGCCGAGCACTGCCAAGCAAGGTATTTCCCCGTTGCTCGTAATCAGGCATTAATATATCCCTCTAGATTTATTTCTGGGTCACTGGTAGGCTGGAGTAGGTGGCACTTGACTATAGTAGCCACAGACACAACGAGACTTGCGCTGCACGTGGCGTGCCGGCTGTAGAAATCTAAGTATTGTTCAGGTCGCTGATCCGGACAGACCCAGCTGAAAGTGAGCCCGACTTGTCACGATTTGCCAACACGTATCGCACACTTCCACTTCTCAAGCAACTGGCCAATCAACTGCCTGAATAGGCTCTGCCATTTGATGAGCGGTTGGTTGGATGGGTAGGTGGGATAGCTGAATGTGGGTGGGTTTGTTGGTTAGCTAATAGGTTGATTAGCGATTAGGTTGGTTAGCAAGTAGGTTGGTTGGTTCCTGGAAAGTGGGGCCTGGTTCAGGACGTGTTTGTCATGCTGTGGCGGTAGGTGGGGGGGGGGAACACACACAGCACACACATACGGCAAACACACATGGCACACACACATGGCACACACACATGGCACACACACATGGCACACACACATGGCACACTGGCACACACACATGGCACACACACATGGCACACACACATGGCACACACACATGGCACACACACGTGGCACACACACGTGGCACACACACACGTGGCACACACACGTGGCACACACACACGTGGCACACACACATGGCACACACACGTGGCACACACACGTGGCACACACACGTGGCACACACACGTGGCACACACACGTGGCACACACACGTGGCACACACACGTGGCACACACACATGGCACACACACATGGCACACACACATGGCACACACACATGGCACACACACATGGCACACACACATGGCACACGCCTTCAGTGACCGCGTTGTCACCCGCAGGAGATGCAGAGCAAGCCCAAACCATCCACGCTGGAGGACCGGCCGCGCCGCGGGCCCGACATGCCACCCGTGGGTCACCACGACATCATCACCGACATCTGCACCTTCCAGACGAGCCAGGCCTTCATCGCCAGCGCCTCGCGTGACGGCATCGTCAAGGTGTGGAAGTGAGGGTGGAGGGGGCAATGCCCCCCCCCACCCCCTGCGAGGGACACCTCACCCAGGCGCTGCTTCCAACGTGGCTCTCCGTTAGAAATGGAGGAGCAAACATTTTTAATGCTCATCAAAATGTATTAACCCAAGTCCGGGTCCTGCCATAAAAAATGGCAAGTGCATTTACTTCAACGGTTGGCTACGTACGGTGCGAAAGAAGTTCAACATACTTATAATGTTTGGCCCAATTTCTTAAATCCCCCAGCTCTGCCCACCCAGCAGTGTAAACGAATACGGTATGGCCTCGTTATTCGCGACGAGGGGTACGTTCGGGGAGATGGTCGTGAATCGCAAATTTCGCGGATAATATTGGCCTGCGAAAATCTTTTAAATTATTTACCTTAAATGAATACGTTAATAAGCTATTGAATATATACAAATAAAAAAAAATTGGCTTTGATAGACAAATTTTATCAAAATAAATATTAAAGTATTCAATAATAGTTTATAAATTAACTTACCATAAATTATGATGCTGCGCATCATCACTTTATCTCATCACTTTCTCGCATCTCTCTCGTCACTTTATCTCATCACTCTCTCACCGTGCAGCAGTAGTGTAGAGTTCCAGATACCATTCGCGGACATCCAAAGTCGCAGATAGCAAGTTCGTGAACGAGGGAATGTTGTACACCACAGTTAGAGGGGCTGTTTAGAGCTCCCTCTAAGTGTTTTCCCCAATCCATTGTTGTTTTGTACTTCTATGCTCCCCGGATGCACCAGCTCACACTGACCAGCATGGTGAAGTACGGTCCAATAATCCCCACGACCCGCACAGAGTGGGGAGGCCCTCATCCGACGGTGCATCCGTAGAAGGGCTCTACGAAAATTTTGCCCAGGAAGGCGGATACATTGTCTCATTCCCATCTACAGGCTGCTTGCGTTCTGAAAATCAAAGCTCTGTCGATGAATGCATGAGTGAAGATGATAGCTGTCACGGGCTGGCTGTCCCGCAAATATGAGTTGGTTGTTTTGTGCTCTTTTGTTTTTGTACTGTACAAATGTTTATTTTGGCGATGGATTGTTTTCATACACGGTACACCGACTGTACAGTCTGTGAAACTGCGCTTAACACTTCAGTGCTGCACATAAACGCGCGACGTTACACGTTTCTGTCCCGTCAGTGTTGCGTGTCGTCTCAAGCTGCGAGCCCTCGCGCCGTAGCTGGCGACCGTTGGTGGTCGCGTGCGTTGCTCGTTCAATCTCCAATGCGCTGTGTAAATAAACGCGAAACTGCGATGATCAACAACGGCCGTCCTCTTTCCTCTTCCCAATTGTGCCGTCCGGATTTCTTGCAGGGCGGTGCAACCCTTGGTGTTACGGAACTACTTCTGAGATCTTCTTGGGTTCTTTCGGTAAAGTCCCGTAGAATGAGAATAAAATAATAAATTGATAAAATAAAATAACACAATTAAATTCTCACGACATTTCGGCCACAACACAAGCAGCCTTCATCAGGTGAAGGGACGAGACTGTCTGGAGGACAGCACTGTCCTGCCGCCTGTACTGTCCTCCAGACAGTCTCGTCCCTTCACCTGATGAAGGCCGCTTGTGTTGTGACCGAAATGTCGTGAGAATTTAATTGTTATTTTATTTTATCAATTTATTATTTTATTCTCATTCTACGTGACTTTACCGAAAGAACCAAAGAAGATGAATCCTTGCAGTCACGAAAGCTTTAAATCTACTTCTGAGATCCCTTTCAAATGACTTCTGTCCCAAACAGCAGAGGGGGCAGCATTCGTTTGGCTACGCTTGACATGAAGGCACGCGCCTCGTCTTATTTCGGTCCGCAGACCGGGGTTTCGGTGAGCGGGGTGGGACCCGTTCGCCTGACGCTTGGGAACCTGGTTTATTTACAGGCGGCAGTCTAGATTTGAACCCAGGCTATCAGCTTTTTCAGCTCAGCATTCGGACCTCTGAACTGCCCGGCCACCTCATGGGAACTGTCATTTCGGTCAGCAGGTCTCACATTCAGGACAATTTTTCAGCGTACTTTCATGTTGGAACGTGGTGCAGGTCGGATGGTTGACTCAGGTGTCAGTCATGCTTCGTTTGGTTGTTCATTTGTATTTTTAGCAAGTGATCACGTGACTGCTACGACTGACCACCACTCTTTAGAGTAATTATTCCCACTAACAAACAGAACGTGGCCAACAGCGATCAATCTTCGCTCAATGGGAGGTCACGCATTCTCCTATTCCACCGTCTCCTTCGGCCCAAGCGTCAACACCCATGGCCTTGCCCATATCCTTCAAGTCCAGTGACCCTTCCCTCTCTCATGACCGACTGGTTTTGTCCATATGGTGAATGTGCCCACAGTAGTTCTCCGATGTTTTGAATTTCACCGTGTCGGCCTGGCGTAGTGTCAAACGTGAAGCTAGATTTTATTTCAGCAGGAAGGTCCTGCGACGGTACAGATGTTGTTCTGTGCAGATATTAGTTCACTCAAATGGTCCTCAACAGTTTGCTTCATCATCGTGATCACCTACAATTTGTCTACTGCTGGATGAATACGCATGTGCAGTGCGTCCAAGCAGCGACGTGACCTTTGAGCTTTCCCGCTGGGGCTGTGTGCGTGAGCAAGCGTTGTTGTGTGCATGCACGTGTTTACACCGACCACTTAAGAGGGTTCTATTTGGTTTCTCCACCCTTTCCATGCAAGCGTTTAACAGCGACGCCGTCTCCACAGAGGTGTAACCCCACGCTGGCCTTGGAAACAAACCGTGCCTTTGAGGTGGTCGGGTTGCCCAGAGGTCAGAGCTCCGTGCTGGCACCGCTGAGAAGCAGAGTTCTCGAGGTTTCAGCTGCCTGTGATTACAACCAGTGCAGCGAGTTGGCCTCTGCGCAATCACCAGTGACGACACGCACAACATTCACAATCACTCTCACTTTGGTTTGGCCCATGCATTGTCTTAATTCAAGCTCTGAGAATTAAGAATATCAATTGCAAAAAAATATTCCTGTGGTAGAACAGATGGGAAAGTGCTGCCCCCCCACCCACTTTGTGAACCGGAGGTAGCTTTGCAATATCCACTTCATTGGGCACTACAAAGGGTTGCACTGCTCTGGGGCTTGGCGAGTCATCCAGCAGTGGATTGACCACGGCCGACAATGTTGAATCCTTTTCAGTGGGGTTGGTGAACCGTCATGGTGAAAGCTACTTCAGCTCACCACCATCCACAACGTAACCCTGGCCTTGGCTGGCTCACACCTCGTTCTTGTCTAACCGGCCAGCCTGCCTTCCATCGGTGGCACGCCACCACCACGAGCTCTAGACGCGGCTCCCATGTGCCCTCTAACCCTCGCCCGTCAGTGCCGACCACGCCGCTGTGCAGGCCGGAACAGGGCCACGCTCACAGCAGCCGTGGGCCTCTGCCCGCGGAGCCGTTGTGGGTCTTTTGGGTCTGGCCAAACGAAGTCGTCGGCGATGACCCACCCACTGCTAGATGAAGGCCTTCCCAAGCCGTCTTCACCGCCACCAATCGTTCCTGGTGCCCGATTTGACAATCCTCGTTGGCACCTACCAATGCCGTCTTTAACCGGCGCAATGTTCCATAATTTATGCCCTCGGTCCTCTTTCCGCCTGAAATCCGAAGCCGGTGTACCCCTTCACTCGTTTGGGCAGCAGTGGCGGCGGCACGCTATTCGGAACGCGCGCGAGTTGGAAAAACCACAGGGCGCGCCCCGCGTTCTTACGAAGGAATACTTTATTGAACGATATGCAATATAAAGAGAAATTATACTGAAATCTACTGTGTTGTTATATTAGTACATACGGCGTTATCATTATAAACGATGGCTTTGTATACACAACAGTTCAAGAGTTGCGATTGGGGGGGGTTGGGTGGGCGCGCGGCGCTGCTGGGCTAATTGAACCATAAACATCATGGCCACCGGCCACACGGGCAGCCCCTGCGGCCGCCGGCAGGGTTCAGTGTCTAATCTGCTATTGCACTTTACAACGAGGTGGCGTCGCCTGTAACAAACATCTACGCGGGCATCGTAGGGGAACGGGACACGCTAATTCACGTCGTCTTAGTAGTGCCTTAAATGCGAGAAACGTACTGATTATTATATTTTTTAACTTTTTTTTTCCTCTTCCGATTTCCACTATTCAAGTTAAATTTCTAAGTAACTACCGTCAATGAGAATGGGGGGGGGGGGGAGGGAAATAAAAAAATAAGAAATGGGATGGGGGGCAGTGGTGGAGGGGATCTAAAAAAAAGGGGTAGGGGGGGTGGCGGTTCGCAGACTTGAACATGCATATGGATTGTAAAACATACAAAAGAGGCTAGCGACTATAACATATGTAAACAGATAAACATGCATCGATATTAATTTGGTTCTCATGCTCGAAGGAGGAGGACGCACGCACGCAGCGCTCCGGGCCGTTTTGCGTCTCGGAGAAAAAGTAACGGTTACGACGGGAATGCGAATACAAAAAAACGTGTAAGATTTACTTCTGATGCAGCAGAAGGCAAAACTAAAAAAACGAAAACAAATACTCGACATAAATAATTCTGTACGTTGGAATTTTCAGAGTTTCTGCGGCATCGGTCTCATGCAGTACTAGTGCTACAGTACAAACAATACTGTACAAAAAGCTTTGCGGTTTAAGCCAAACGCCGACTGCGTGTGCGTACACACAAACCGATAACATTGCATATTTAAACATTATATTCTTGCATAAACAGATGCTTGCATAAATCGTTAAGTTTTTTTTTTATTTTTCTCTCTCCCGTCCAAAATAACTTTTATAAAGTCTCAAACGCCGAGCTGCAGCCGGGACGTGGCCATTGACAGCCTTGGAGCTCGTCGCACTTTGGTCCTCAGTGTTTTGGCAATTCAGTGACACGACCGTAGACGACACTTTAAACAAAAAAAGGACTGCACTCTCTATATATACACACACACACAAACAATTCGTATCACGTTTCATTATCCCCTCGTAGTGTTACAACAGCTGGCACGGTGACGAGAGACCTCGACTCGGCCCCACAATATTCCTGGCTGTGGGGAGGGAGATAAACACGAGTACAACTTTGCGAGAAGCCAACATTGGTCGTCTGAGAGGTTGCATTGCCTCCCCCCCCCCTCCCCCCACCTGCCATGGGAATGTGGAATTTACAACGCTGGCTTTGAGCCAAGGCACTTGAGGAGCGTGACAGGAGCCCTTCCGTATTTTCGCGTGACCTCGATGTTCGCCGCCCTCTTGTCCAGCAAATGTGACGCCTCTCTCCTTGGGCCGCAGGGAAGGGACTCGTAGGGACTCGTCCGTTCACTGGGGTGACCGACGCCACTTCATGTCGAGTGTTTCCCTTCATTACGCATTCCCTGACGTGGCACTGCCGTTATAGTTTCCAGTGTACAGGTATATCACACACACACACAGGCACTCTGTCTATACAGGTGTGGCACAAATCAACTCTCAGTACAGGTACAACACGCACAGCCACTCTCCGTACAGGTATGTCAGACAGGCACTCTCCCCATACAGGTACAACACAAACCAACTCTCAGTAGAACAGCACTCCAGCCACTTCCTTTCGGTGCGCCACACACAGGCGCTCGCACGCCCACCAACCGTACCAGCGCGACGCGTGACCACGGTGCCCGACCGCTCGCGCCGCTCAGCACCTCAGGCCCGGCACACAGCAGCAGCTCGATGGCGAGCGACGCTCGAAAATTCCGTTACAAAAAATATATCCTCGTCAAAAACGACATCAAAACAAAAGAGGTTTTCGGGGCAGGAAGCCGGACAAGGGGTGGCGGCGGGCAACCGACGGGGAGTTTGAGAGCGCCTGTTGGCGGTTACACGTGGCTGTGACGAGCGAGCGCAGCGTTCTACATGAGGTAGAGGTCCACATCGTGGTTGGCGTGATGGTGCATGTGCGGCTTCTCGGTCAGCGCTGGCGTGGCGCCGGTGAGCGCCGGGAACGGGATGAGGCCGTCGCCAGGCTGATCCGAGAAGAGCAGCACAGAGTCGTGGGGGAACTGCACACACGCACACACACACACACGCACACTTAGCACAGCCCAAGTTCCCGCGTGGAGATTGTTTGCAGTTACGTTAAAACCGTTCTTCCACTCTCTCCACCGAGTCCCACACAAGTCACTCACAATCATGACGGACCACCCCCCGTGTTAGCCGTTAAACTTAACAAAGGGGGGGGGGGAACGAATATTGACAAACTCTTGCCCAATCCTTTCACATGCGCAAACTCCAGCGCTTGAAATCCCAATTGC